TTGGACGCAAGGAATCATTTCTTAGCTTCAGAAAGTTGATTTGATCGCTAAGATCTGGGGATGAGGCACTGAAAGGGTGAATTAGACAATACTTTGATTTAAAAGCTACTTTTTATTGAATGCTTAAATCCATTTCGTTTAAATTTTGTCGGTAACATCAGTAGAGATGGGCAAAAAATTCTTGGATTCAGAAAGTTGATTCGATTACTGGGGAAATGGGACTCCAAAATGGGAAATTTGACAGTAGTTTGCTTTAAAACTATACTCCTTCTTAATGCCTTGGTAAATTTCAACCATATTCGGTCTGAAACTTTTTTGCTCAATTAGAAAAGTTGGTCAATATTTTGCTTCAAAATGCTGCTTTTTAACGCTTGAATGAATTTAAACAAAATTTGTTCTGAATTATCATTGAGAGAGCGAAAACATTTCTTAAGTTCAGATGTTTGATGCGACACTTCCCGACCCGATTTGGGTGTAGGGGCAAAAGGGGAAGTCTGGCAATGACCTCAAACGTGCATGAGGTGATTCTGAAGCTGTCCTGAACAAATTTTATATTTTCGCTTTGATCCAAAATCAAACATGACTTATCTAGAACAAATAGTTTGCACTACTCATGTTGAATTCACGCCAATGAAAAAAAAATATGTAAAGATTTGTTACAAAAAAGAAAGCAATGGCATGTTATTTTTCAGTCTGATAAAAACTTCAACATGGTAACCACATTTCGTAGCATGGTTGTGTCATCAGTTTTATGAACAGAGCCTAAAGATTATGATACTTTCAAAGAATGTTCAAAATTTAGAAATAGAACTTTTCCAATCTAACTTCGAAGAGTTATAATCCATTGCAGTTGTATTTATTGAACGTTGCGAACACGATAATTTGGTAACATGAACGGATTTTAATGAGATTTTGTTAGCAGTCTGATTATGTAAATAATCTATGACTAATTCGGCAATATGTTCGATAAAGAATAGTCTTCCGACTGTGAAGGCTCATGGGCCTTTTGTTCTTAATGTATGGATCCAAGGTAAGGTTACGTAGCTTTCTTACCATTTTGACGTCTTTGAGATCACTAAACGGTCCGTTGGATGTTTTGAGGTCAATCCAAATCGTAAAACTGATCTGTATACATGAATGTCAACGACTGTAGTATTCATGATATTCATCTGTTATTTTCTGACGATTCCACTTAATATAATCTTAGTTTTATCAAATGTCGTAGACCTTTTCAGTCATTGTCATAAAAATTAAATGAAAATACTGACTTGCTTACAAAATGGCGAGTCAGAACAATGAAACGAGGGGAAATCAAAAACGATTTACTAAGAGATTCGCAAAAAATAACAAGGATTATATGTCTACGTTTCGAGGAAGCCATGTTCTGGTTACATGGTAAATCCAAATAATGTCATGTTCTCAAGAAAGGAACACGATTATCAGCAACCAAACCACTAGGAAAAACAAAAAACATTTATCATATTTAGCTTCCTATCACACAATGATCCCAGTTGGATAGTTATAGCGATCATTGACCTGTCTGCGATCTTTATGAACTTGCTTATTCGTAACACACACAGCTTCATCTCTTACTTTCGATTTATTTTGTGATAATCACAATATTGCGAGAAAGTCATCGGATATAGAATCAATTGCGACATGTTATCACTGTAGATTAAGGAAACGGTGTTCTATCTTGAATAGGTTTTCACTACTGTTCCTCGTGGTAGGAAAATATTGCGTAAAGCGCTGGATAATTAGTGTTGAATGAATTAAGGTCAACAGAATCAATGCATAGCAACATGAATACTTCACTCCCCTTTTTACACTTGCTTATGAATTACCTTATAGCTTGATATTTTCGAGGTATTGTTTTGCTATTTTGCGGGACATTGCAGTGATCGCGAAAGTTTAAACCATGAAAACATAATTGCGAAAACTATTCGCTTAAAAAGATGACGCTTAAAGTAATAATCGCAAAATTCAGTTATCCCTCATGCAAATCCCAAAAATTAAGTTCATTATGAAAAAAGCCTCGTTCTAAATAGAAATCGTAAACAGTTTGGTCTCGAAAACAACTGACTATGCAGTAATGGTATTAAATTCATGACGTCATTTTGTTTGATTGATGTGGAAGTCGGATGGAATGTTAATGTAAAGTCAGAATCTTAACATTAATCTTTCCAGTGTCCCGTCAACAAACTCGTAACATTATATATACAGCCCTTTAACCAAAGCGGACACATTTCGGTGATCTCCTGGCAACAGAAAAGGTATGGACATTAACATATCAATATATTGCTTAGCAGTAGAAATATTTTGTTAAAATATTTTATATGTATTCGTTAAATTGTAATGAGGAGATACTTAACTATATTGTGTCTTTAGTTATATTGTTATAATACGATTGATACGAAAACGGTATACATAATGAGTGGAATATATGTTGATATTTCGGTAGAATGCAGATAATGTTAAAGTAGTATATTGTTTTTGATCTTCAACGGAATGTAGAAAAATAATGCATTAGAGTATAAGGGGTGTAATGATTAGAAACAATGTGATTTAATGGTAAGATCATTGTGGTTAAATGGTTAGAAAAAATGTTTTGAATGGTTAAGAAATAATGTTTTAATGGTTAGAAACAATGTTTCAATGGTTAAAATAATGTTTTAATGGTTTGACAAATGCGATTAAAGGGTTAGAAACAATGTGTTTTAATGGTAAAAATAATGTTTTAATGGTTAGAAACGATGTGGTTAAATGGTTCTTTACAATGTTTTATTGGTTAGAAACATAATGTTTAATGGTAAAAAACAATGTGATTTAATGGTTGGTTAGAAACAATATGATTTAATGTTTGGTGAGAAAAAATGTGATTTAATGGTTAGAAACGATGTGTTGTAATGGTTGGTAAGAAACAATGCGGTTAAATGGTTAGAAACAATGTGGTTAAATAGTTAGAAACAATGTGATTTCATGGTAGATCAGAAACAATGTTTTAATGGTTGGTTAGAAACAATTTGATTTAATGTTTGGTGATGTGTTAAAAACATGTGTTGTAATGGTTGGTAATGCGTTAAATGGTTAGAAACAATGTGGTTAATGAGAAACAATGTGATTTCATGGTTGAAACAATGTTTTAATAAAACAATTTGATTAAATTGTTAAAAACATTGTGATTTAATAGTTAGAAATAATGAGTTAATGGTTGGTTATAAATGTTAGAAACAATTTTTAATGGTTTGTTAGAAACAATATGATTCAGCAATTATAAACAATGTGGTTTAATAATGAGAAACAATTTAATTTAATGGTAAAAACCAGTACGTTTTGAAGGTTAGAAACTATCTTATTTAATGGATTTTCAGAACAGGGGGTCTGAGGCATCCTTAGGTCAAGTGAAATTGATTTTGTAAACGCAATGGGTATGAATTATCCCCTTTGAGGCAAGAGGAGCGGACCCATAAAAGGATGTAGGGGATTCTTTGAAATCGTTACTTATTTGTAAGAATACTCAGAATTTGCCCAAATTTGGTTCTATAGAATTGTAGTAATACAATATTGTTATTGTTAAACAGCCATCTGTAAGAATGATTGAATTGTCCAAATTTTTCAAATATATCCTTGTGGGGAAGGGATGGGGCCAGAAATTTGGAAATAGTAACATCCTTTTCATTTTGTCTGAATAGAGCAATTTCTGCCGCACTACACCAGGACAGCAATAACGGCCATATAAGCCTTGTGTTTACGTGCTTATTTTATAGGTCATTGCCTGTATCTGGATGATTGACGTGCTTGTTGCCAGAAATGCTAATGCGATGTCTTAAAAAACGTGTCATATGACCCCATTGAAATATACTGACTTGAGAGCAAGCTACAAACAAGTGTTTATAATTGATATAATATGTTCTGAGACTTTTATCACTGTCACTTTACAGTGGTATCCATGCGAAAACAAAGTATAAGAAAAAAACATGGTGAACTTATTATCGTTTTCATATCTGTTTAAGTCGACCGTTCTTGAATAATTAATTTAGTTCATCTTTGTAGAAATAACAATAAAAACAATCTGGTAGATACTAGCCGCAATATACCGTTTGGTTTGAGAAAACTTATCTTTTGCTCGATCGGTCAAACGCCATACCTAGTAAGCCAGGGGTTCCGGGTTCGAATCCTAGCAGAGGCAATGAATTACAAAATGACCTATATTACATTGGGGATCATGTAAGGACTCGAAATCAATACATAGCAATACTTTCACGGGCATCGCTATAACATCTAGAAACTCGGGGACGAGATATTTCCTGGATGGGGAGGATTTAATCATATAAAATACTAGTCGCAATAAACCGCTCGGCTAGAGAGAGCTTCTCGTTAGCTCCATCGGTTGAGTGTCAGATTAGTAAGTCAGGGGTCCCGGGGTCGAATCCTAACGTGAGGCATTGAAATAAATTGCGATTAAAATGTAATAATGTAATGTTCATTGTAAACCGAAATACTAGGGAAATAAAATATGACAAGACGAATGTAGCTTATTGCTTTGCTTTTCATATTTTATAAAACAGTATTACATGTACTAAGTTCAAGAAATAAATAGTGACTACCTATTTACAACTTTCTATTCGCTTCCAATTTGTCTCAATTTATCTATCATTAATACTATTATTTTCTTAATTTATCTTCTGTTCCCGGTAAAATACTTTTATTATCTCAATTTATCCTCTGTTTCCGGGATCATTATGGTAGTGTCTACATTTGAACTTGATGCAGAATGTAGTAAATCAATAAACACTTTTTTCTTGTTTTGCTTTTGAAATTTTTCACAAGAGAAATCCTATTATATGACACCAAACGCCAATAATGCTTAAGGTGAACATTTGTAAACTTGCATAAATGTGCAAAAAACAAAAATAGATACAACTATTCATGATTAAGGTGATATGATAATTATTTCTATGTAATTTACAGAATTTTCTTCGACGGAGCTATTTACAAGAATGAGTGCGTTTGTTACTCTAACTTTGTGTTGCTTGTTTGGTGGTAGTTTGGCCGGTACTGGTGAGTACTGAAAAGGCATATAGGACAATGACATTCAAGAGGTAAACAAAACAGACATATGGCTATTAATTAATGACGGGTTAGACGACTGTATTTAATGTATATGCATATGTCATCATATGTCAGCCCTACATATGGTACATACACTTGTTTAACAAATAAATGTTTCGTTCGCGTATTAAGATGGGCGTCTATTAGTAATCAGATTCAAGTGTATTTTATCATCGAAATGAACGACAGCAATAACTGTTTTCCGTTGATTAAAATAATACACAACAATTTGTTGTAATCTGCTGCTGTTCAAGTATTGTTTCTATCAAATATATATCACATTTCACGCATTTATTGTCTTATGTCAAAATATTTGTTTGTTTTTTTTATCCAGGACTGTCAGATGCAAACATTGATGCATTCATATCAGCTCCAAAGGAAGTTCTTTCTTATCATGGAATATATGATAACTCGGATGTGAATGTCATTGCAGACCAAAAGCAAGATATCGGATATACTGCACGAAAGAGGCGTGATTTGGCATATACTGCTGACAAAAGACGAGAACTTGGGTATACAGCTCGAAAGAGAAGGGATCTCGCTAGTGATGCAGACATAAAGCAAGGTCGCGGATATACTGCACGAAAGAGGCGTGATTTGGCATATACTGCTGACAAAAGACGAGAACTTGGGTATACTGCACGAAAGAGGAGGGATCTCGCTAGTGACGCAGACAAAAAGCAAGATATCGGATACACTGCTCTAAAGAGACGTGATTTGGCATATACTGCTGACAAAAGACGAGAACTTTGGTATACTGCACGAAAGAGGAGGGATCTCGCTAGTGATGCAGACATAAAGCATGGTGGCGGATATACTGCACGAAAGAGGCGTGATTTGGCATATACTGCTGACAAAAGACGAGAACTTGGGTATACAGCAAGAAAGAGGAAGGACCTCGCTAATGATGCAGATTAAACGAAAGATATCTGATAAACTGCAAGAAAGAGGCCTGATTTGGCTACAAATGGTGAATAGCTATTTTATTTGGCAACATACAGTAATGATTACAATTGCTGGTATTACAAGTAGCATTAAGAAGTACAGGTTAAAAAAAATAAATTGCACAGATATATATATATATAAATGTACATATACCATTGACTAGTAATTGACTGAATTGCAACAAACGAATAAGTTATTGTACAGAGATTTTTTTTATCACATATCAATGTTTAAACATCAATAAAAAGTTGAAAATATCACTATTGTATGTTTTAACTTAAAGGAGTTGTTGCTTGGTGGCCCATGACTGATTTTTTTTTAAATTTTTTAGCTTAAACCAAGAAATGAGCCTAAATGAAACCGTACGTGTTTTATTCAAGATATAATGTTTGCAAGCTCCATCAACGTTTTGCTTCCACCGTTAAATACCTCTTAATGATCCTTTCTAATGATGTATAACATCATACTATTCATCATGTCATTTTTTTGTAAATCACATTGATATTTCAATTGTATTGTTACAATAAGAATAAACATTCCATAAACCTTGAGTACCCAAAAATGTTGACATTCAAAAATAACTTCACAGCTTCATAGCTCTCTCTCTGTCTCTCTCTGTCTCTCTGTCTCTCTGTCTCTCTCTCATATGATTGCTGCACTGATAATTCACTAGATATGCCACTTTTTAAAATTCTTTTACTGTATGCCCTTTAAAATGTGTACTAAATATCAAAGTACTGAAAAGACTAATTAACAAAGTCAACAAAAGACAGTGGGAAGGCTTCTTGTTTATCTCCGTATCTTATCATTAAGTACCCAAAAGACATGTAGTTGTGCATGCAAAGTTTTTTAGGGGTTTCCCATATTCAAGATGGCCGCATAACCTCTGATTTTGACACACAAACAATTAAACTTGTAAATTTGGCAGCCAAATCCTGACTTCTGATTGGTCAAAATTTTAATATTATTCAATTTTCACATCACTTCTTTTATACTTCTATAACAGCTGCAAGGGATATGACTGTATGGGCATTGGAGAGACCTAGTTCAATTATCAAGGTTGGTGGTACAAAAGTTTCTATTCACCAGGTTATGAACATTTTGTAACCACATTGCCAATGCTACTACATGGAAACTGCTTTTGGTTTTCCTCAAGGCGCCCTCATCAGCCCAATCATGTTGGATGAAAATGATGAAAAAACAAATAAATATGTTTGTATTGTGTTTTTTCCTGCATATCTTTTTAGATTAAGGAATACAATCGTGTTGCTTCGTTGAGATTTACAATTTTATATGATAAATGGGAAACCCTGTTAATAATACAGATGCATATGAGCATAAGCTCATATGGCGTCATACTTACTTAAAATAAATATCAATTTCAAAAATAAGAAATGCCCATTTTTATAATTGTTATTCCTATTCAGGTATGTGTTTTTGCATATAATGTCTACATAGAATGCAAATTATTATGTAAAAATCTAAAGACGAGTATGTATGCTACTAAAAAATATCAGTGAATGCTATATAACGAGTTAAGGGTGAGTGTTTTAATATAATTTGTTTGGTTTAGTGAAGGGCTGCTTTAAATCATTTTATATCGTTAAAGCACCCTATCATATGTAACACCTTATATGAGAACGATCTATTCAAAATATCATTTTGAAATAGCAGGAAACTTTAATTATCAAAAATAAAGATGGGTGCCTATCGGTCATGGTGTTATGTTTGTTGTACGATTTGACCATGCACTCTCAGTGCTTTGATATTCAGTCAAAAATTAGGGAGTAGGCGAAAAGAAAGTCCAAAATCCAGTAATTCACAAACACGTTTTTTATGATGAAACGGTAGCTATCTAAAAATAACTCTAAGCAAGAAATTTTTAGGTTACTCAACTAGTAACTACACTGTTTTTCCATTGTTTGCGCAAATTTGATGATTTTTTAGGGAGAAAGTATGCTATTATAATACAGTATGTGCTGAAAACATATAACATATAGCCGATTGTCATATAGAATTTTTAAGGTCATTATGTATGCTATTTAGCTGTGTAACTGGAATGTGATTTTGATAATTTTCTTATGACTTATCTCAGGTAAAATGTCTACAGGATTCTGTTTTTTCCCTAGTATCGATGTATTTGAATCTTATTGTATTGTTTTTTATTATTTCTATCATTTCTTTTCTATTAACGTTGAAACATTATCCAACAGAACGGCAAATCGGAATATGATTATTGTAAACAACGTGTATTTATAACATTTGAGATTAAATGACTTGATTTCAATATAACACAATAAAAATGATAATTTGTCTCATACAATATTCAACAGAAACCTATTTATTTCCCTATGTATTATTCATACGTTGATATCGTTAATGTGTGTCTTTACGACCACTATCCAGGAAATCGACCAGCGGATAAGAAGACAATTCATACATAGTTCAATACAACTTGTATGAACACGCAAACGCTTTTTAGATTTAATGTGATGTTTATGTAAAGTAAATGATGTATTCATATAAGTTATTGCTACATCATACTTCAATAATTGTCTTACCATCATGGCGGTGAGGAGTCCTTATGTTATGTTTAACAAAATGAAACACTCATGAGATAAGTCCACTTGCATCGTGACATTAGCTTAGACTAAGCATATATGTTTGTTATCTAAAGTTTTCTTTTCTCTTGTATATTTTCTTTAGTGAATTCCATATTTATATTCCATTAATGGACAGGATTTCTCAATATTAGCAACTATTCAATTTGTGCGATTTTCAAATCTCATTCCTGAATTCCTGAGATATGATTGAGATAATAATAATAATGTTAACACTATTAGAGAAATAATAATAATATGAACACTATAAGAGAAACAATAACAAGAAAACATCAACATGTCAACATATTGAGCCCACTTGACAAACTCGTTTTTTTATTATTGAAAATAAGTCATTTACTAAGCTACCTGCTGCTCTCTGATTAAGACTTGCTAAAAGAAAAATTAATGATGCGAATCATCTGTTAGATCATGTTCAAGTTTCATAAACAATACAACAAAAATTGAAAACGAAGTTTTTTTTGTAATCTTTAAAAGTTAATTACTATGATGTTGACAGTGATATAGCCATGTGCTATTGAAAACCGGATGGTTGTTCTCTATACTTGGTTTGGAACAATTCACAGTGATCTTATCTAATTCTTCAGTCAAATGTGATTGTTGGAAATCATGAAAATAAGGTATGCTTCCTAGGGTTTATTATCAAGTCTTTGTATGGATCATTTACAACGTACCAGTTCTGACTAGAAGGAATAATGGTTGGATAATAAGAAAAAGGGGTATTATAAAAACACAAATATTTAGGTCATCTTAACAAAGGATCAGGGTGTCTATAACCATTATGTTTGGTCTGTCGCTTTGCGTTGTCAGCACCGTGCTGTCCACCTTCCGAACACTTTTTTACGTTCTATACTTGTGAAGTCTCATCACTGGCATTCAGCTTAAATTTGTTTGGTACGATCATGTGTTTGTTCTTACATGGTCGGTATGATCGCCATCTTAAAAAAACAATTAACTTCTCTGATTCCAACGGTGCAATTAAAGTGGAAAGTATCGATAATAAGGAAAACTATCACACATTGTTGCTATATTTTTGCACCCTCGCTAAAGCTATGATAAGTCTAACAAGAAGGTCATTTTGAAATATCATTGCGCAATTATGATTTTCCTTAAAAACACATAGTTCACAAAATAGGATCCAGTGCAACATTTCTAGAAATAACATTGAAATGATTCTGACCAGGAACTGTTACAAATTCTCAGATAACCGACATGACAACCATTATGAAACATTCATGTCTCCGGTTTCACTGGTGATATTTTGCTAAAACTGAGAATGTTAAGAAAGTGAAACGAAAAGTTTGCTGTTGTTTGCTACAATACTCAGAATTTGCTAATTGCTTGATATTGCGTCTACTATCAGTACTATTAATTAACTTTATTTATCGATCTTCATAGCCAGATTAACGTTACTTTGTACACGCTGGTAAAATATTAATTGATATAGACACAGAAGTGCGATATTTGAACTAAATGAAAAACGGCGATAAATTATTTTGCAAATTTTTCTTATGTTTACATCTCGTCAGACTATTTTCGACCTTAGTGTACAGAGATTTATAGTACAGCCTAAAACGTTGATCGATTCCGTAATGTCTCGTACACTACGTGCGTCTGTGCTGCAGCCAGTCTTCTACTGACGATAAAAATCTGTTCAGTTTATAATTTATTAGTTGAACTTTTTAATGAAGCAATTTGGGTCATTTTGGGGGGCCAAAAATGATGGAATAAATATAGTGAATTCGGGAGTTTTCATCGATGAGTTTTGGACAATTGATGATAGTGTGTTTACCCATGATTATTATTAAACGAGGAAGGGCAAAATACATTATAGTCAAGGGAAGGTTAAAAGGCCTATATTTTGGTATGAAATAGGGCCTTGTGATTTTTTTACGGCTACAGGATTTAATGGATATAAACCTCCCATTCCTTCACAATCAGATAGATCATTTCTGAACAACAAATGGTCAGTTTTGAATGAGGACATTTTTTGTGGTTCAAGCTATTTAAGATTTTTAGACAGGGGTTTATTGGGAAAATATGATAATTTACCATTGGTTGTAAATCCATTAACTGTATATTTACAAAAAGAAGAGAAGGTATTAGATTAGAAATCGGTTAATAGAAACACCCTGTCAAATGTGAGGATGACTTTAATGTATTTAGAACAAATTCGACATACATTCAGCAAATCATTGTGTGAACATTTACGGTCCCCATATTAAATATCGTGAGTTTTCTTCGTTAATGGATGGAAAGGTCGTTTATTTCAAATTTAGATTTTTACCGTTTGATTTATCAACAGCTCCGTAATTTTTTTTCGGAAATAACATAGCCACTGGTAAATGGAGAGGTGAGGGCTGTGACGATGGATTTATGTGTAGTTCTCCTGCCTCTCTCACTCAATTGGTTAAAATTTGGTTTTATACCCAAAGGAGAAACATTGTAGGTTACTAACACAAGAATTGGAATGTTTAAGTTGATATATATATTGCAGTCCGTAGAGTTGAAAAGGCTTTGGTAACAGTAGAGATAACGAGTACAGGTTGTGAAAGTTGCTTGTTTCGTAGAGTAGATAGTTTCTGCTATGAAGGTAGTACATTTAATAGGGAATCTATCGCAGAATATGACTACATACCCTTCCATGGATGTACATACAACTTACAGTTGGAATTCTTATATCAAATTGTCAAATGAGAGTATCGTACAATTTCAATTTTGAAAACAGATTTTACGTAAACTAGATTTCAGACAATCACGTGACAGTGGTTTATTCCAAGATAGCCTATAGCGATGCTAGCGTCACGAGTTTTGCTGGCTATGAAGATAATACAGTTGAGAGTGTAACTCATGGGATGTGGTCTATCAAGGGAGAGAGTTGGTAGCTGTGTTGAGGGTTTTACTTTCGTTGAAGGATAAATTATAGGATTTCAGGTTAAAGTCGTTTTCTGCAACACGGGAGTGTGCAGTATAGTTCAAGAAGGTTCTATAATGAAAGGCGAGTTGTAAGATGTCGCGATCGAAATTGATCGAGTTTGTGTTTTTGAAATGATGTACCTAGAAGTCTGAATGACTGAGTTGACATTATATCTCGTAATGTAGACAGAGATGATAGGAGTATATCATTAATGAACTGCGAAGTTCATGTTGTATTTTTCTCAAGACCAACGGAATTCATCATCCCATGAAATCGACATAAGCAAAATTCAATCCTTTCATTTTCATCTACTTTCGTTTCCTGTCATCATATCGTCTTACGTCATACAAGCAAATAGTCTATCATTTGAAGACAGATTATTGTGACAGGTTGAAATATATTTCAGCGTGGTTACTTCATATTAAGTGAAACTTAAATAAGAACAAAATGTAATATATTTTGCGTCTAGACGTGGTGCGCCGGTTCGCAAACGAAGCGGTGCCGGCCATTTTTTCACAGGCACCGAAGCGGCGAACAAGAAATATTATGCTTCACATCTTTTATAACGTAACGTTACAGTTATTAACTGTTGAATTAAATTTTTATTTTTGATGTTTTTAAATCTCATACTTGTGGTATATTGCGAGTCAAGTAGAAGTTGGGGAGTTTTCTCTCCTTACCTAGTATTTTATTCATACGCCATTGCAATGTTAATCTGGTCAAATTCAATGGTAAATGAAACAGATCACATTTGGTAGGTTCATTGAGTCTGATCTGGGTAGAACTTGATTTTGAAATAGATTGGTTTGTTTAAGTCATAACACTAGGAAAGCTGTGCTTTATTAACGATAAAGAGAAAAGTGAATTTATATTGAATTGGGCTGGGGAATTTGGACTCTTCGTTCAGCCCATTTTCTTGATATCCAGAGTGTTACGACAGATTGTGCGTACGCATGCGTCAGGTGTACTGGTTGCACCTATGTGGAGATGCCACTTGCATGTAATACTTGTATAGTTTCAATACAAAAGAGCCAATATGTTAAACTGTGTTCACCTTTATACATACATTTCTAGAGAGTTTCGGTGGGGAGATCAATTAATTGCCCCACCTCCGGACAAGCTGACCTAATTACTGGAACTTTTTTAGTGATCTCGATCTGTGAATATAAGCAAAGTTAACAATAGTGGACATTCCAGGTGAAAAAAATATTTTATTACTCCGGTATGATTTTAGGCTACACGTTATCGATAACACCTATACATGTATAAAGTTATTTGACTTTCATTATACAAACCGCAAATTCCCTAGTCCAATGGCTAATGTTTTTTTTACAGTTTTTTTTACCGTGGTTTCCTGATATATTTGATTTAAATCTCCTACTGGCTCTGTAGTAGCGGTAAATATTCTAAAGGCTGGTAAACTGAAAATGGTTCGGCTTGCAGTGAAGAATGTACCTATATAACTATTGGTATGTTGAGCGATATATTTAATTTCCTCAACATGGCAGGAAACATTAAAACGTTGTCTTTATATGGTATGCGGGATTCCTGGGAAGTGAAGAGTTGTTAAATATTAAATGGTGCGATATTGTAACTGATTCAACATGTATGTGAGTGTTTATAGAATCATATAAAACTGACAAGTATCAAGACTATGCATGGATTGTGATTCCCGGGACAGAGGCCAAGCTGTGTCTGGTTGTAAATATTGAAACTTATTTTGAATGGCTTACTGTTAATGAAAGTAATGATGTACACTTAATGTGCAATTTGAATGCTTTGAAATATAAGTTAAAGAGTGATAAAGAGTGATGTCTGGTACTATGCAAAACGTAGGTGATTTATCAAAGTATTGTTTATATTTTTTTAGGTTCTAGGGGTGGGGGTGGGGGTGGGGCTGAGGGTGGGAGGGGGTTACTGCAACTTCTTATCGAGACATTAGCAATAAACTCTTTGAACGTCATAGCAGGTGGGTTAATGAAACGTTAAACATGGTTATGTAAAATATTTTAGAGAGAAATCGCTGCTTTCTCAATCTTCATTCTTATAAACATATGTTCTACTGTATTTTCTTTTTCTCTTAGATTTATCGTCGTGAACTAATGCTTGTTACCAATAAATAAGTATCAAGTTATCTTTACAAGAGTTGGTTTTTCCTATGAGAATTGATGCAGTGACTAAGGGAATAAAGTGTTCTGTCATTACTATATTATATATAAACAAAAGAAGAAATGTTTTGTTTTTACATCCGGTTTTCAACATGTTTATCTTAAATTTCCCATTTGACGGACTACAAATAGTCTTGATGGTACATTTATAGAACATGCTAATCTTCCGATTAATAATAATGAACTGTACTACCGACAAGTTGCACTAGAGTGCAATACAATGTTTTATCGAAGATGCGATATTCATGACGCTGAAGGTGGTTTTTTGTGTGTAGAAAATACACAATTCAAATGGTACATGATATCAAAAAGTAATAACAGCGATTTCTATCACCTTCGAACCATAAATTATCGTATCGATTAAAACAAAGTCTCATAATTGTTTAATTTCTTTCTTATCACTGTGTATCTGCACTGTTATTGACACACCTTAACATGGTTGGATACGTCCGTGTTTGTTGATCTAATTAACCATTAATTAATTCTATTTGTGTAATAATATACATCTTTCTGTATAAGGAAAGTATTCCTAATGGTCTGTATATCGGAACTCTTTTGTACTTGAAGTAATATCTGGTAGTTCAAGCGTCATGCGAGTGATTTCAAAGGTTAATATTCCTCATTAGTATAGAATAACAAAGCGGTTTTTGTTACTGAATATAATTCTTTAAACTAAATTATTACAATTGTGTTGACTTGTTTGTATTTTGTTGTTTTTATCAACAGACCTCAGAACACTATCCTTGGACATCTAATTATGAGATGATGATATGGGATGGGTAGAATTATCGCCGTTTATTGTTTAAATCATGGAATAATTAAAAAAGAATATTTAAGTTGTGTTTTAGACTACGTGATGAATTGTTCACTCCTTTGTGTAGCACGTGTGACTGCTAGACATTGTGTAGGGTAGCTTAATTGCAAATATTTCCCGTCAACAAATTTACATTGAACTGACCTCCAGCTCTCTGTCATCTGTTCTGTCGGTTCAGTCTGGTACAAAGGTATCGGAAGTGGGAATTCCCAATTTATATTTTTCTTGTTTGTTTTTTTTTAAAATCCTTTTTGTGAGATCTTGTAACAAAAACAATACAACGTATTTCAAATATTTGTAATTGTAAATATACTAGCGGAAAGAAGATACTGCGTATAATATGCTATAACTTAGGAGACTATAAGAAATCGCAAGGCTTCTTAAGTATTTCGGTGCACACCAAATTGTCTGTATGACGTGCACCAGCTTCATTAATGCCTACGATGTCGCATCTGTCTGTTTTATTCAATACTGTATAAAGACATTTTTCAAAATATCCTGCTTTTGTTTGTTACATGTATTTACACTATGCTTTTACACCGGCGTAGGCGGCATACTTGTTTGCGATTAACTGCTGGCCGAAAAGCACGTGAAAACGATGACGTTTTGCCAGTAAAATGAACTATCGTGGGAATACACGATAAAAGTTTGTTTTTAATCTCTCAGAAAGCGAACATTCATGTAGGATCCTTTATTTGAGCAGTTTTTCAGTATAAAAAGAAAGCAAACTTTTCTGAGAAAAAACTTTTCTTTATTAATTCTAGTTATTACACATGCTAAATGTTAAAAAGGTTTTACATATTGAACCTTATACTGTTTTTCTGGAAAAGTAGGTTCATGCCATATTATCGATCATGGGATTTCTTCTTGTTTACGGTCTTTTAAGCATCATCCTGGTTTTCCTCAACTGAATGCGATTATTTTGCCCATATAGACCTTTCCAATATACCGACAATATCCATTTAGTTGCGTTGTACAAGCCGTTTAAGTTAGCGCGAGTGCAGTTTTTATGCCACCAGGGACCCTTCCGTGCTTCAGCACAATTCTTTGTAGGATTATTGTCGTGGTCTCTCTCAACTGTCGAAAACTTTTGTCCGTCATTAACTTTGAGGGCATCACCTGCATGTAAGAATCTAGGTTAATGCAAATAAACAGCACATGATGGACAATAGGTTTGCTATGTCGTGTAACAAATATATGAATGATTATAGGGTTGAGGTATTCTTTAAGAACATTGACCATTAGTCCGTTCCGACAGAGCAAATTGCAGTTGACATGAAAAGTCAACTTGTCAGAAAAATTGCCTAAATTAGATAAAGTATAGACCATCATTTTTGTTTTATTAAAATGTCACGTATAATTGTCTTTTAAAAGTTGCCATGTCAACGCAATGAATATGAAATATGACTGTTCATGTCTGCATGAATCTTGCTATTGCTATACCAATCACAAGTAAAGACCATTTAGTTTTCTGGAAATGCTGTCCTTAGTGGGTATGCACTACATAAGAAAATAGTTCTCCAGAACACACGATATGCTACAAACCAGAGACCTCTTAGAAAAGTGTTAAGTAAAAGTTAACTTGTCGATTTCATTTTAAAGGTGCGACATTTTGTTTACTTACTAATATTTCCGCTGAAACCATTAATGGAAATCTTGTAGCCTTCGGTCTCATTTGATATTTGGAACTCCGAGTATTCAGCATAACCAAATGTCCCATTCAAAGTTTCCAGATGTACACGGAGTATACACGGGGTCTCAGTCAGTGAATATATATTGTCATTCCCTTGCAAATAAACAAAACCAATTGCTATTAATGGCTGTCAGGATCGACACCTTAAAAACCGGATTTGGAAAAGCAATAAACCATAGACAAGAATTGGCATTTGATAAGAGTTATGAGTTATCAAAAACTTCTGAACTTACCTAACCAGAAATTGCCGTGTAGATTTCCGAACCCGTATTTGTACTGATTCCAGTCTCGGAAGAAATCGACTTCGTCGTTTTCACGGTTTTGGATTACCTTGGATGATGAAACAACACAAGGACATTAAACGAACTGGCACATAGGATAAATGTGTTTACCACATGTTATAGGTACATAGCTATATCATGTATGTTTACCACATGTTATAGGTACATAGCTATATCATGTATATTTACCACATGTTATAGGTACATAGCTATATCATGTATGTTTACCACATGTTATAGGTACATAGCTATATCATGTATGTTTACCACATGTTATAGGTACATAGCTATATCATGTATGTTTACCACATGTTATAGGTACATAGCTATATCATGTATGTTTACCACATGTTATAGGTACATAGCTATATCATGTATGTTTACCACATGTTATAGGTACATAGCTATATCATGTATGTTTACCACATGTTATAGGTACATAGCTATATCATGTATGTTTACCACATGTTATAGGTACATAACTATATCATGTATGTTTACCACATGTTATAGGTACATAGCTATATCATGTATGTTTACCACATGTTATAGGTACATAGCTATATCATGTATGTTTACCACATGTTATAGGTACATAGCTATATCATGTATGTTTACCACATGTTATAGGTACATAGCTATATCATGTATGTTTACCACATGTTATAGGTACATAGCTATATCATGTATGTTTACCACATGTTATAGGTACATAGCTATATCATGTATGTTTACCACATGTTATAGGTACATAGCTATATCATGTATGTTTACCACATGTTATAGGTACATAGCTATATCATGTATGTTTACCACATGTTATAGGTACATAGCAATATCATGTATGTTTACCACATGTTATAGGTACATAGCTATATCATGTATGTTTACCACATGTTATAGGTACATAGCTATATCATGTATGTTTACCACATGTTATAGGTACATAGCTATATCATGTTTTATGTAATGTTTTTATACGGTTATGGTCCTCTAACTTAAATGATTTAAATTCATTTTTTCATAGAAATGGTCAGGCTAATATTGCTAGATCGAGCTTTTGGCCAATCTTCAACACCTTCCTTGTTTATTTTATAAGAACATTTTATTTTCCCATTACGTACACCACCATACCCAATCATAAAATGAAACGAACGACTTCGTTCTCTTATGATAGCATTCTACTCCATGACATGTGAACGGCGGTATGGCTGTGAAGTATACTGAGCCGTATAAAATACGTCTAAATCAAAGGCGAAATATATGGAACACGTATCCAAAACATGAAAATGACCGAGTTTCTGGTTGACAACATGTTCGTCAGGTTTGGTGATAAGATCTTGAAACAGAATATTGCCATGCAACGACAATGAAAACATGAACAGCTTTCCAATAAGCTGTATCATAACGTGATGATTTTAATTTTCCTGTTGTGACTTTTCCATTCTGGACAGTAACATTCCTGCATTGTCTGTCTGGTGTTAACATGTCGCAGATGATTCGGTATTTCTTGCAAGAATTCGTCAATGTACATTCCAGGAACTTCCTTCATTCTCCATGTCACAGTACACGTCAAAGTTATACTTATATTCCAGGGACTTCCTTCACTCTACATGTCACAGTTCACGTCAAAGTTATACTTACAGTCCAGGGACCTCCTTCACTCTCCATGTCACAGTACACGTTAAAGTTATACTTACAGTCCAGGGACCTCCTTCACTCTCCATGTCACAGTACACGTTAAAGTTATACTTACAGTCCAGGGACCTCCTTCACTCTCCATGTCACAGTACACGTTAAAGTTATACTTACAGTCCAGGGACCTCCTTCACTCTCCATGTCACAGTACACGTTAAAGTTATACTTACAGTCCAGGGACCTCCTTCACTCTCCATGTCACAGTACACGTCAAAGTTATACTTACAGTCCAGGGACCTCCTTCACTCTCCATGTCAGAGTACACGTTAAAGTTATACTTACATCCCAGGGACCTCCTTCACTCTCCATGTCACAGTACACGTTAAAGTTATACTTACAGTCCAGGGACCTCCTTCACTCTCCATGTCACAGTACACGTTAAAGTTATACTTACAGTCCAGGGACCTCCTTCACTCTCCATGTCACAGTACACGTTAAAGTTATACTTACAGTCCAGGGACCTCCTTCACTCTCGATGTCACAGTACACGTTAAAGTTATACTTACAGTCCAGGGACCTCCTTCACTCTCCATGTCACAGTACACGTTAAAGTTATACTTACAGTCCAGGGACCTCCTTCACTCTCCATGTCACAGTACACGTAAAAGTTATACTTACAGTCCAGGGACCTCCTTCACTCTCCATGTCAGAGTACACGTCAAAGTTATACTTACAGTCCAGGGACCTCCTTCACTCTCCATGTCAGAGTACACGTCAAAGTTATACTTACAGTCCAGGGACCTCCTTCACTCTCCATGTCAGAGTACACGTCAAAGTTATACTTACAGTCCAGGGACCTCCTTCACTCTCCATGTCACAGTACACGTCAAAGTTATACTTACAGTCCAGGGACCTCCTTCACTCTCCATGTCACAGTACACGTTAAAGTTATACTTACAGTCCAGGGACCTCCTTCACTCTCCATGTCACAGTACACGTTAAAGTTATACTTACAGTCCAGGGACCTCCTTCACTCTCCATGTCACAGTACACGTTAAAGTTATACTTACAGTCCAGGGACCTCCTTCACTCTCCATGTCAGAGTACACGTCAAAGTTATACCTACAGTCCAGGGACCTCCTTCACTCTCCATGTCACAGTACACGTCAAAGTTATACTTACAGTCCAGGGACCTCCTTCACTCTCCATGTCACAGTACACGTCAAAGTTATACTTACAGTCCAGGGACCTCCTTCACTCTCCATGTCACAGTACACGTCAAAGTTATACTTACAGTCCAGGGACCTCCTTCACTCTCCATGTCACAGTACACGTTAAAGTTATACTTACAGTCCAGGGACCTCCTTCACTCTCCATGTCACAGTACACGTTAAAGTTATACTTACAGTCCAGGGACCTCCTTTAATCTCCGTGTCACAGTACACATCACAATTATACTTACAGTCCAGGGACCACCTTCACTCTCCATGTCACAATACACGTCAAAGTTATACTTACAGTCCAGGGACCTCCTTCACTCTCCATGTCACAGTACACGTCAAAGTTATACTTACAGTCCAGGGACCTCCTTCACTCTCCATGTCAGAGTACACGTCAAAGTTATACTTACAGTCCAGGGACCTCCTTCACTCTCCATGTCACAGTACACGTCAAAGTTATACTTACAGTCCAGGGACCTCCTTCACTCTCCATGTCACAGTACACGTTAAAGTTATACTTACAGTCCAGGGACCTCCTTCACTCTCCATGTCACAGTACACGTATTATACTTACAGTCCAGGGACCTCCTACACTCTCCAGGTCACAGTACACGTTCAAGTCTACTTACATGTCACAGTACACGTAAAGTTATACTTACAGTCCAGGGACCTCCTTCACTCTCCATGTCACAGTACACGTTAAAGTTATACTTACAGTCCAGGGACCTCCTTCACTCTCCATGTCAGAGTACACGTCAAAGTTATACTTACAGTCCAGGGACCTCCTTTAATCTCCGTGTCACAGTACACATCACAATTATACTTACAGTCCAGGGACCACCTTCACTCTCCATGTCACAATACACGTCACAAGTCCTATCACTTCCAGTCCAGGGACACGTCCTTCACCAGGGACCTCTCCATGTCACAATACACGTCAAAGTTATACTTACAGTCCAGGGACCTCCTTCACACTCCATGTCACAGTACACGTCAAAGTTATACTTACAGTCCCTTCAGGGTCACAGTACCATCCTTATACACTCTCCATGTCACAGTACACGTCAGAGTACACGTCAAAGTTATACTTACAGTCCAGGGACCTCCTTCACTCTCCATGTCACAGTACACGTCTTACAGTCCAGGGACCTCCTTCACTCTCCATGTCACAGTACACGTCAAAGTTATACTTACAGTCCAGGGACCTCCTTCACTCTCCATGTCACAGTACACGTTAAAGTTATACTTACAGTCCAGGGACCTCCTTCACTCTCCATGTCACAGTAAACGTCAAAACTCTTCTCTGGTACAGGTGCAATACGGTACACTCCAGAAATGCTGACTGGATCAAGGTCATCACACGTTTGGATTTCTGATTTGGTTCCATTATCATTGAGTGATGTTTAAAATCAAAATAGGAAAATTGATATCAATTATAATTCATTAATGTAATATAATATATATTATATAGAAAATATGCCATTAATTTGATATAATTTAGAAACATTTCAGGGATATAGTTGCCCGCTTGTTTGACTTTGCCCTCCATAATCTTACTTTTAACATGCCAGAATGTTCCTTTTTAAAGAATTATGATAGTAAACGTATCTCGCCAAAGCTTAAAAAACTTCAAAGACTTGTTTCATTAAATTCCATATGAAATGCAAACACATATATTCAATAATGAAAAGATAGCAAGATACATCGTGTGAAATACTTCAATGCCATAAAGTATTGCACAAAAACAGAAGATTATAGAACATTGTAATACAAATATAGAACTAGATACTGTGGAGTCAAAATAAACTGGAAAACAACATATCGGTGTTTCGTCTATCTCAGAATCGTCCGTGATGATATGTGTAGAAACCTTGAAGTTGGTTTTGAATTATCAATATTAGTCAAACGATATGCTAAAATCTAAATGTAATAGTATCGCATAATTTGTAAGATATATTCAACTGCATGTTATTTTCTAGGAATTTTAGTTACAAAGAGGATGGACATTACTAATGAATCAGTAGTTAACAGTCTCGCAAAAAATAGTCATGCGGTGCATGGATTATTCAAGAGCCTTTTATATATTGACGTCAGTGCCAGTTCTGAACCGTGAAAACAGCGATCTCCGAATGGCTTTGAAAGCATAGGTCCTTTAGTGGGACGGGAAAGAATGTTAGCAAAAAGGGGACAAACCTGGAAAATACACCTCAGTTTTATATACTATATTTCTATTTTTGTTGATGTTAATGAAATCTTAAATATTAGTGTGATGGCATGTCAACAATTCGTAATATCAACTACATATCTATAAAATAACATCGCAATTAGGAAAACATACTGATGTTAAGCAGTGACCCTATATCGTCTTTAAACTGCGACACTTAGAGAGAGACAAAGAGGCAGTTACAGGTAACTTTTTTTTGCAAAAACTGTAGAAAACACACAGTGCACAATCACATCGTAACTGTTTGAACATGTAAGTTGATACGTAGCTTGGATTTGTAAAACAAATGCCTACAATTGTGTTTATGTTCACGGGGCACCTGTTATTTGGACTTGTATTCAAATTACTCGGACACGATTTAAATAAAACTGTCAATAAGTAATACATACAACCGGTGATGTTATCTCACCTCGTACAAGGAGGACGTTCGTTTTGTTCATCAGTTCCCTATGCTTAGTGATATTATAGAGAACACACAACTGCGTAGGCTGGTCATACGAGGCCACTGACAGATTATACCTCAGAGCTATCAGAACACATTCTGTACGTGAAAAAGTCACTGTCTCTACATTGGTGTTATTTGATGCATGTTTGATGTCATCGACTCTCTCCACGTTCCACATCATCTGGCTGATTTCTGAACCATGGACAACTCCAAACACTGAAACAAACGTTGGACTAGTTAATATAATGTTAAAAAGCCGTTCGTAATTTTTGGAGAAACAACTTTTTCAGTTAGCTGACAGAATAGAATCCACTGAACAACTATCAAAAATAGTTTCCATTTAGACTAGTTTTGACCAGATTGAAACTATCCAAAACCTATACCGGTCTATTCCAAAAATAGATATCTGCTGAATGAAAGCCTTAAGGATGCATCACAGAATTCTAGATAAAGATAAAAACACAATATTTTAATCTATCCTTCAATATATTTACGATCTCCTTATTTACAGTGGTATGATTTTTTTTACGTAAATGCAAACTGCAAGATAGTCATCTAAACAAGGCGCATGTGGCACAATTATTGACAGCGCAATGTCACAGTCGTTCCAATGCTTTTGTCCAAAGTCTGTTTCTTTGAACAGACCCTGTCTCATGCTCACAAAGACACCAACACAACAAACAGACGTGCACACATGAGTTAATTATTCATAAATATGTGTTAATAGTACAATGTTTGTTGCTATGCATTATTGCATTTGATTGCATGTGGTGCACAAGCTATACCCATAACAATGAACACACCATTAAGTAGATAATTCAGGTAGAGAGATGCGTTGGCTGGTCTAAAGCAGTCTTGTCAGATCTTGTCGATCTCTCCATGTGGTGTACGCTGATAAGATCAAGAATGTTTCAGATACTAAATGCTTGTAAGCATAGCAAAGTACCGTAGTCTAAGCTTATGTTAAATTTGTAATTTAATATTGCTTCAAGTCACCGGTTTCTCACGTTGAAATACTGTACACATATCAGCTAGTTGGTGGTCATTATCGACAGCTAGCTATATAAAGCTGCTGCAGTTTCCCAGATTTAGCATTAGGTAGTTTAATGTAGACTCTCCGCGTCAAACGTCTGGATCTGGACCACCAATTAAGAAATTTGATTGATAACAAATTATGCAATAATGACAATTAAAATGACAAGATAACAGCCAACCATCTGAATGAAAGATTGCAAGGAAATTTTGATATGAAACATTGACAAACCAATTACATCAACTATCATCTATTCACTTAGGTTTATCCGATAATTGATAATAATTTTCCAAACATCAGCAATCTGCTCTGTTGGGAAGACTAGTTTATACTACAGCCTACAGCTTTCATAAAGTGAAAAATATAATGGAAAAGTTTCATCTGAAATGATTGTTGATTAATTTGCAAAGAAATGTTTTCCAGGTGTCCAGGCCTATCAGTCCAGGGTCTGATAGTGTAAAATAAAACTTGATATGATCTTTTCCGACATCTAATAGACAACTCTCCAGTTCTGGCCGATTCAGTGTCAAAGTCAATTAGCATTAATTTTAAGTTGTTTATATCTGAGTATTATATACCATGTCAAATGTTGACTTTAGGAAAAGGTTATCTGTCACAAACTGATAGACCCCTTAGGTGTAATTGATCTAAATGATATTTTGTGACTGAGATAGACCCTAACATTTATTTGGAATTAATAATTTCTTGGTACAACCAGATATTTGATAAGCAGGATACCATTTAAATCCTAATAAGGACACGGATTTTAGATTGGTTATAGGGGCGCTTGACTCCGAATTTTCCCTGATATCGTTGCTCTTTAAGCAACAATTTGTTGAATGATCTGATGGTTATCATAAATAAAACTGAGGTCGACCTTATTAGAGCAGACATCTAAACCATCTACAACATGCGAAGTTATCTCATTTTGGCTATCACGTATAATCTTCAATGAAATCACCCTAATTTGTTAATTTCATGTCCTATTCCCCATGAAATCGTCATATGTTGGATATTGCATGTGAAATCAAATCATACAAAAATTTGAAACCGGTCAATAAAAGACGATTTTAATAATTTTAGAGTTCTGGATATATTTTTATTTTCTTCAAGTTGAATTGCCTTTCATCAAAAAGGATGTCCTGATCATGGCATGTGATGAAAATGAAAACCCACTTGCACTGATGATATAAAATGATGATTATCCATCATATAATATTAAAAGATGTCTGCGTACATATCAGTTCTTGTGGCAAAGTGGTCAGGAAGTGAGCTTGACCGATAATATCACATTTCAAGCAACAGCAACGATAAACTATCAGACAATGTCTGACTTGTAATTCTTATGGTCCAGTCAGGATTCTCATCCAGTTTATTTTCAAAAAATATTTTTTTGCCAAAAATATCCAAAAACAAAACTATTTTTAGATCTGTATTAAGATCGTATCGCTTATATTTGGATTCTCTCAACAGGCTTGGGTAGATGGGTTTGTGCCAGTTTGAGGTATGATACATTAACCTATTTAGGTTCTTCATTTGTTTTCGATATCAGTATGAAAACTTCACTGTGTGAAAATGACTGTTTTTATATCTGTTGGAACAGAACATTTGTAAGTGTGTATTACAGGATGGCGTATTTTGAGGATTTTCAGAACACTTTTATTGGAAATATGTGGCAAAAGGCATAATCTGAATGCGTTCATTGGATTGAGTTCATAATTTACAAATTCAGATAGCCTTGCTGCTTTAATCTTATCAATACTGTTATATATGATCTGCACAGTGACCAGCTTAAATAAAATATAAGGTTCTCCATTAGTAAAACACCAACTTAAAATGTTCACCACTTTCACCCCGCAACTATGAGCAAAGTCATATTTTTATTACTTTGCTTAACATTTTAATTGCCATGCTTTGTTTTCTTGATCATAATCATTGGTATCAAATTGTTTTGTAATAATATTCAAATTGTGTTGTTGCTTTCAATAACAACGCATACAGCTTTACAAATACCATAGTACTGCTAAGGAATATCGCTTTTGATACTTCTTGTATAAGTCATGTTATATTTAGTATGTTTTGTGCAGTTAATTTTTAATAACGATATTCATTTTAACATAATATTATTTTAATACGTCAGAGATATGGTATATCTGGTCATTGGTGAGCAAAACCTCAAAACACGAAATTATAGGTACGTCTTACAGTAGCCATCATTTTCTCGGTGAAAAATATTTCCTTGCGAGATACGAGCAACATTTCTATACACCCTTCACATGTAAATTTTTGAATAATACTTGTAACCGCAGTACGAGTAATATTTTTGAAGGTCAAGGTCACAGACCAAACATTCTACTTGGTAATTGTAAAAACTTGTCTTATAGGGTCGGTTTCATGAAATATTAGGTTATTAAACCGTCGTTTCATGATCAATATGTGATTTCATGGTAACTATGACTTTGGTAGGAAACAAATCATTTGAAGGACTGATGTAGTAAGCTTTTTTTGCAGAAATGTCGATAAATAACCAAATATGTCCTTCCTTGTAGATAATTTGCAATACATAAAGCAATGAAAGTTGGTTGGAATAAAACAGTGATTATTATTTTAAAAAAGGTCAATGTCAGAGGGTCAAAATTCAAAGTTGCATGAAAACAACAATGGACTATTATGACGTAAATATCAAATTCAAGTTCAACCATTTCTTTTTTCAAGAATTGATTTGTAGTTAGGAACGACATGGCATAACGACAATGTTAGTATGGGTATGGAGATGTCCAAACTTGTCCTCGACCTTTGACTTTCCTTCACCTTCTTTCCGTAAAATTACTTATACGGGTTAACTAACCGCAAAAAGAATATTACACAGTCAATTACATATCATAATCCATTTCATGAATCCGGACAATACCACAAACTAGTACCAAAAGGGTTCAATATTACAAAATTATGTAACTGACATTAACATAGGATGTTGACCAAGGTTCTTACAGAACTTAAAAGAGCGCTGGAAATTATGCTAATCATCCCGAAAAAATGATCTAACTATTTATTTAACTAGACTGTCATTGAAACGTTTCTGTAGTAGTAATTGAAAAGTGATTCATTTCATTTATTTCACAGAATACTCAATAGCAATTGTCAGTTTGTATTGAACTTGATATATATAGACGTAAACAATTACATTTTACCTGAGTATTACACAGGCATTGTAGAGTCATTTAAACATTAGAAAGTAAGTATCATCAGGTACAAACTTAAGATTTGAATTGTAGAAATAGTTCTTTAAAATTACATGCCTTCAAATGGCAATGAAAGTAAATAATAAATTTTGTTATGGGGATTTTTGGATCGGCCATGTTGACGCGTGTTTAATGGTTTAAGTTCAACGTTCATCCTAAATCTTTACGCAAACAGTCCTTATTTTTGAGTCTATCGGACGACTGGGGAAACGCAAAGGGGATTAAGATGTCTGATGAGGAAGTGCACTAGCCTTATTTTCAAAAATTGCGGCAGCATTTTATAAATGTATTACCCTAAAATATTCGCCGCTGTTGTCAGTATTGATCACGGTGAACTGTCGATTATTTTGCAAACAAAGAAAAATAAAAGTAATTTTAATAATGAATATATAACAAATGTTTCTACAAATGTTGCGGTTCAGAAACAGAACTTCAAAAAGACTCATTTTTAGTATCCTGAAATCAGGAAACATCGCTATATCTATGTACATATTATTTGAAATAAATGAAACATCACCGAAATGCAACTCTTACCTGTATATGCCAATGCAGCTACAAACCATGCCATATCTACAAATCCCAGGTAAACTGTGTATATTACAATAACTAGTGTCGTTATATCAAAACATTTCCAACACTGCGCATGAGTAGAAAATGCATCACAACACTATGCACTTATTGATTGGATTATATACGTTTTAGAGTAAACCATTTGATTATGAATCGTTGCATGGATATGCTGACGTCATTTTATTAATTTTGATTTGCCAGTTAAAATCTCTTGATATTAAAAGTAGCATATTGATACCGCAAAGCAATCACATAATATGTATGATCTAATGTATTATAGATTATCTGCTATGGTTTATCGTTAATTTGGTTATTTGCTATAGTTTATCTGTTATAGTTTTTCGGTTTAAATCTATCCGTTATGGTTTGTTATGATTTACCTGTTATTGCTAATTGTTTATAGGTTATATGTTATTGTTTATCGGTTTACATTTATCTGTTATTGTTTATCGGTTTACATTTATATGTTATTGTTTATCGGTTTACATTTATCTGTTATTGTTTATCGGTTTACATTTATATGTTATTGTTTATCGGTTTACATTTATATGTTATTGTTTATCGGTTTACATTTATCTGTTATTGTTTATCGGTTTACATTTATATGTTATTGTTTATCGGTTTACATTTATATGTTATTGTTTATCGGTTTACATTTATATGTTATTGTTTATCGGTTTACATTTATCTGTTATTGTTTATCGGTTTACATTTATATGTTATTGTTTATCGGTTTACATTTATATGTTATTGTTTATCGGTTTACATTTATATGTTATTGTTTATCGGTTTACATTTATATGTTATTGTTTATCGGTTTGCATTTATCTGTTATTGTTGATCGGTTTACATTTATATGTTATTGTTTATCGGTTTACATTTATATGTTATTGTTTATCGGTTTACATTTATCTGTTATTGTTTATCGGTTTACATTTATATGTTATTGTTTATCGGTTTACATTTATATGTTATTGTTTATCGGTTTACATTTATCTGTTATCGTTTATCGGTTATAGCTAATCTGTTATGTGTTCAAGCATGTTATAGTTTGTACTTATGTTTACCATTTTAATTTTTCACTGTGTTCGTGTGTCATGACAAGTGACGTATTCTGGTCTTTCGGCTGGCGATTTCAACCTTTTTCATAAAAACTTTTAATAAAATAACAATAAATATATGGGGAAAAATAACACATAAACAATAACAATAAACAATAACAATAAACAATAACAGATATATTTCATTTCAACAATTTTGATGGACAAGATGTAAACGTCAAATTGGATTGAATAACAGGCAAATCCTATGTAACAGATATATGTAAACCGATAAACTATAACAGATAAACTATACTAAACAAAGACCCATTCATAATACCACAAGAATAATACGCCGCACGTTATCTTTCAAATGATATTCCTAGAGGCCTAATTGTTATATGAGTGAACCAGGTAGGACTCTGTTATAAATCCTTTATCAAACATCTTTTTACGGCTCAGTGGCAGGCGGAATGGAATCAATATCAATAATTAAATGCACTCCATAAACCATATCATCTGTGAATGGCCTCCATGCTATAGAGACAACCACCGAGACGAAGTTGTCTTTGCCATTCTTTGGATGGATCATACATACCTTACGCATTCATAAATTTTGAAAGACGAAGATAATCATCAGTGCATAGGATGTGATGAGCCATTCACAGTTAAACATTTTTATTGGACTGCTTTGACCTTCTGTCTACTCGAGACATTTTTAACATGTCGTTACAAGTCTACATATCATTTTTTAAACTATTGAGATTAATAAAATTCTACGTTATCTAGAAGATATTGGTCTATATCATAGACTATGACGTACCATTTTAATCTTTTGTGATAATAACCCATTTAAGATGTTTTGCGTTTTGCTCTTACTTTTTAGTTTGTTTGATGTTATTTCTGTTTTGGATCGCTGTGTTTTGCCGTTTTATGGCCCTAATGACCTTTCACATGTTGACGGGCCTTTAACAAAGTCTTAATAATAATGATAATATTGATAATAATTTACTCTGTGCAATGATAAAATTATTGTACTATGTAACTATGTAAACATGTTGTACTGGGAACATGATATACTTCTTCAACTTAACGCATATGCAGCGAGCTAGTTTACTACAGTGTTGTCTCTTAAAGGGTTCGGTAAATAATTTACACTTTTTCACTACATCACGTTTGTGTCTACACCTATAAATATGTGAAGAGTCTTCATGCTTTGATATGTTTAACTCATTTTCTAGAGTGTGAAATCAAACGAAGACACACACTTTATTGGGCCATTTTCAATTTATGGTGTAGCGTCCTTTAACATCGTGCAATCGATTTTAGATGCTCCAGGATGTACTAAACCAGTAGCATTTATGCAAAATTAATATATTGGTGAAGTCACTGGAAAGATAAAATATCCCTGAAAGATACCTTGTCTAAGTAAATAGTTCAGAGCGGTCTCCACAAGGTCTTAAGGACTACCTTCGCCGACACGGAGGCTCTATATGGTTATCACCATTCTATGGTACGTTGACTTCACGCCGGCATTCCAAGCGCTTCACATTGTGATATTGCCTTCCTTAGAGAATCGGGCTAATTTTTCTCTTCGTGAGGAAAACATCAACGATATGTACATGAAAATAAAACAGAAGATGACACGAGTTGACAATATTAATTTATTCATCAAACGTCCTATTAAGTATTACAAATTGTTAAAGGGCCCTGTAAGTAAACGGAATGTTGTGGTTTCACTGGCATGGAATATAAAGTTAGTTATGATCAATGTCCGTTAGTATACCCGGTCGTTTCGTTATTGTTCGTCGTGTTCGATGTTGCCAAAGTGACATCATTCATTTAAATTGGACCAAAATTGACACGGAGGATGTTGTCGATAGAGCAAAATACTGTCGTCCTTACAGAATACAAGGTGTGATCCCCCCCCCCCCCCCCCCCTTTTTATTTTTATTTCTTAGAAAACTCCGAAAAAAAGAAAATACTACATGCCACCATAATTAAAATCCAAACCCTAATTTAAAAAATAGTGCAAAATATGAACAAAAGAAATTCCTAAGGTTCCTAAAAGAATGAAAGGAAATTTAAACAAGAGGTTCCATGTCAAAATTTGTAAATATTCTTTGGTTCCTTTTTGTCTCATAGGTTTGCGTTAAAAGCCTGTGGACAAATCTGAATTTTTTGTTTCTAATTTTTAATATATGTAGATGCTTCAGTGTCATTCAGCTACACGACTGACACAACATATCAATATTATAAATAAAAAAAACATATTCATCGCCATAGAAATATTTAGTATTAAGGTGACAACAGGTATTGCGACGTGAGACAGCATCTTTATCTTCACTTTATAGTTCTTTAGTTCTAGAAGTAAATGCAGTTAACACCTAATAATCGCCATTTTTCAGCTTTTCAAGTCTTTTTAATTCATTCTGTGTAGACATGTACAGTTCCAAACCGTGATCGAGTGTAATTTTAAAAATTGTTCTGCGTTGAAATTACTATAAAACCATTATTTTTTGTGCGCAATTTATTTTCATTGAATTCGTTGTTTCGCTCAGTCCATGAATCCGTATGTGTACATATTGTTAAAGTGATTATAGGTACACTTATTGAGCTATAATTTTGTAGAAAACACGAGATAGCATTTTTAAAACAGATGTATGATGCAGTTGGGTTCATTCTTTGGCTCTACTGTATTTAACCCTATATCTTTATCAGGAGCTAATCAATTGTGTATATTTCTTTAGAAACCACGAAAATTGAGCCCCTCAAAAATATATGATTTTATATTACATTTTCCGACATAATGCCCTTTGATTAAAACAGAATAAGATGTTGAATAGTTATGTACACATAGGTAATCTTTAAACCATTATCGTGTATATGTTATTTGCTACATCTATCTTAAGTTGCTTAAATTCCATAGAAAAGGTTGAGAGAGACTCAATAATGGTTTTAGTTACTCAAAGTTTGAATGAACTGGTGATTAGTGCATAATTCAAATCGTTGACAGTGACAAAAATAACGAAATAAGGACTTCCAAGACAACATTGATGCTCAATGAATATTCATTTTACCTGTCTCATCAAATCTATAGCTGGAACTTTTAGTGAATATTCGCAATTTTGTTCAATTCATACTTTAAAATTTAAACTAACCGCTGGTTGTCCTTATCAAATATGGAGCAAATTGGACCATATCTCTCTAACGCTATTGTTACGTATGATACTAAAATCAAGAATATTTGTGACGTTATTTGACCCGGCCGTTTAATTTATGTATGACCATAAACAGAACCATCCCTATCATCTTTAGAGTATGCATTAGATATTCACTGCCATGACTGCATATGAAAAAAAATATCATTGATACAACTCACCTTTCACTCCGGACTCACGATAAAGACAAGTTGCAATATCTAGTAAGTATGTCTTTATTATTATTATTATTTTTTTTTTCTATTTTCAAATATTTCTTAATTAAAGCATTTAAAAGATACGCGAATCTTATGAAGAAAACAAAACGGGGAAAGAGTAAACAGCAATAACGATGACTTTTTCCTATTGCAATATGTAGACCACAACAAAACAAATGCTGCAAAGTCTGATTTTTCTAGGTGTTCTTATTATTCGCTTGTTCATGTATGGAATAAAGGAGCAAAGATTTGACACCATCAAATAAAGTGAAAAGTAAATATAGTTTGGTGGTTAATGAAAGAAATACATCTGTTTTGTTCCATGCTATTCAGCGAAGATTTGAAAGTTTTGTATTATGACACAAATAAAGTGATTAACGCAACATACAATGAAAACGATGAAAAAGAAAAATAAGTAGAACTGTTTCTATACTTTTTTTCTACTTCATTGCAAATATCAACAAATCAAAAAATGATATTCACTTCAATTTGATGACTTTGATGAGTTTGATGAAAAAAAAATACGATGAAAGTACCATACATCATTTAAGGATTTATTTTCATTATCATTTATTTTATCGTTTGCTGGCAACATGAAACCTCTCGGATCCGTATTTTGTAATCATTGTCATTCTATATCTTGTTCTCTAAATACTTGTTATATATCTGCTCGTATATTTGGTCAACTTTGTGGTTGCAGCCTCGTTCTCAAATCTCATAATTTATCTGTTGACATATTTGGTAAACATTGTGGTATTGCAGCCTCGTTCTCAATATTCTTTATTGATCTGTTGACGTATTTGGTAAACATTGTGGTATTGCAGCCTCGTTCTCAATATTCTTTATTGATCTGTTGACATATTTGGTAAACATTGTGGTATTGCAGCCTCGTTCTCAATATTCTTCATTGATCTGTTTACATATTTGGTAAATATTGTGGTTGCAGCCAGGTAAACATTCTGAAAGAGGCCTTACTTTTTATACTCGTCTATCATCTGTCGACATATTTGTTGACATTTGTATATTTGAGTCTATATTTTACAGCATCGATTATGCCTGTACAAGAAGTTATGAACAACAATGATACCCGATCTATGGATTCTGGTGAAGTACATCATTGTGGCATCTGCTGTCACTTCGGATCATTTACAAATCCCGTCATCAGATATAAAAAGGACAAAGTATACCGCGAAAAAATCATTAGAACTGCTTGTTTGTACTTGGCCATGTTCACTATGGTAAGTACAAATCCTCCTGGAGTTATTACTTTTTATCGCATCACATGGTTTTATTCTGTGTACTGACGTCATTAATACCGACGTGACACATGTGACGTTATTTAAAACGGTTTTACATGACTGTTTTTTCAATGAAAAGCATCAAGTCCATTTTGAAACTCGATGCCTTGATTTTTGTGCTATTTTGCACATATAAAACTAGTTAATTTTTTTGATGGACCAAGCTTTGCATATAAAGATGCAACGCTGACCATTTGATGTAATTAAATCCTCTATGAAACAAGCCTTTTCATTGGTCATGTTCTATGTTACATGCATGTATCATCCCATAACGTTAAACATAGACGTCTTTTTTGTAATATCACTCTTGATTGGCCAACGTGGCGGTGTATGAAATTATAAAAGAAAGGTGTCCATTACAGAGGTATGTTACATTTTATGGCGAAATAAGTGTTAAGGATTGTGTTTTAATGACATTGATTTATAACATCCTAATATAAAAGCAAGGATTCGCCCATGCATGAAAACATGACATCATAACTGAAACGGTAAAAGCAGGCCAGGTCATTATTTTTCCACTTTAAATTTAAACTCGCACATTACAAACATATTCATTGTGTATTTTTGCCTGAATTCAAACCGACAGATATTTTTTCAGGGGTTTGCCAAAAGCCAATTAGGACCCTCACTGATAGACCTCCAGATAATCAGCAGAGTGGGTCTAGAGGAGGGTTCCGCATTCATAACGGCAGTGTTCACAGGATACATGGTTGGAATCTGTGTCGGAGGGATCATTTACTACAAAGCAAGAAGGACTTTTACAGTAATAGGAGGGAATGTCTTGCTGACCATCACAACCTTAGCAATACCTTGGTGTTCGTTCTATTGGCTGATGCTATTCGTCTTTTCCATTTTTGGGTTCAGCCTTGGAGTAGCAAACTCGGGTAATTTTTTTCCTATATTTATTTCTTTTTTCTTCTCATATCCCTACTTTTTGCTATTACAATGACGACATTTTGTGATTGAAGCCCAATTGTGTGTATTCATATCTTATCATTAAAATGGTGAGCGACACTTTTCCTATTCTTTATCAGAGGATAGTATGTCGAATGAGACGATTACAATTTCTGGATGGATCTTTCTTAAATTCCATATGTAGATTACCATTGCTCTAGTTGTGCCCATTCGATTTTGTTCTGATTAAAAAACTAAGAACAAACAGGCCGACAAGTGGCCATCTTTGATTTTGACTTTGCAAGTTTGTTATCGCTATTTCTTAATTTTGAATGCTCAAATTTCTTATCACTAAGATGAAAAAAAAAGAGAATAGAAATGAGAGAATAGGTCCTACTTGCAAAGAGCAAACAAAGGCCAAACAATGTTGGCGCTAAGATCACTCTGGTCAACATTTGGCATCAAACGAATGCGTTCGAACCTTTATTTATTGTTGTCTATTTATTTATATATGTATTACTCACTTGTAAAGTTATGGTATTAGGAAACGACCAAGCATGTGTCCTGTGGTAACTGATAGTGTAGTATTAACACTTTGGTAAATCTGATTTATTCTCAGGTTAAATAGATCCCAATAGATCCGTAAAGCTTATTCTATCTATAATCACAGGAACATCTATGTAGATGTAAGTCTTTATGCAGATGAAATCCTGTGTTTTGTGAATTCTTGGTAAACTGTTTGTTTTGCTAATGATATGTGTTGGATCACGATTCAAAAGGTATTGAATAAAATTGGTATGGAATAATTGTGATGTTTCAGTTACCGTTGGGGACCTGCAAGGCATGTGGGGGAAAGATGGCCGACCTTACATGCAGGGAATGATGCTCATGTATGCGGTAGGTTCCGCTGTAGGTCCACTTATTGCAGCTGGTTTCCTTTCCTATCCGGTATCTTCTAAATTCATAGGAAACCAATCAGATATGCATTTGTGTGTCGGTAAATTGAATGACACAACTTCATCGACATTGGACTGCTTTGACAGTGAACAGTATAACATATCCAAGGATATTCCAGAATCGACTTACTATCACACACGTGGAAATACCCAACTTTACCTATCTTTTATGTTTATAACAATCTTCAGTGTCTTGACCTCTTTAGCTTTTATGGCCTTCTACATAAGCTTTGAGAGGAAAATTCAAAATGTTTCACATGGATTAAGTGTCATTTCCAAGAAATACGAAACCAGACAACTTCCGATAGCATTGAAGTTTTCAGCATTAGGAATGATGATTTGCATTGCAGCATTGATTTCCAGTATCGAGGAAGCGTTCGTAGGATTTCTGACCACATTTTGTGTGATTTATCTAAAATGGACGAAATCCCGAGGGGCTGTATTGACATCAGTGTGCGGTTTCTCAGTAGTGTTCGGACGGTTATTTTCTGTAGTTATAATACAGTTTATCAACCCTATGACACTCACTGGCGTCCATGCTTTAATAACAATGCTGTCCTTCGTGGGATTATACGTAAGCACACTGCATACATCAACTGTCGGAATATATATTTGTGCTATTGGATTCGGATACGGAAGGTCGGCAATACTGGCGAGTGTGTTGTCCTGGATTGATGAAATTGTTACACCTGTCACTGGGAAAATTTCTGCGCTCGTTTACTTCGTGATAACCTCTTTAGTAGCAATAAATCCCGTAATACTAGGCAGTATGATGGAAAACTTGAGAGATATCTGGTACGTGTTGCTGCTCCTGGGAGAGAGTGTGCTGTTGGTGATTTTTTACACTGCGGCCGCGTTAATATCAAAGTTTATTGTAGCACGACACGGCTATACATACGGTAAAAAAGATAACTCTGAGGGAAATGCACAAATAAACACAACAGAAATGGTGAATCATAATGTTTAACACAACAAACAAAATACATGCCGAAAGGAACTGCATTATATATCAGTATGGAAACACACGTTACACAACCAATGTTTTTTCATATATTTCTTAGATTCTAGCAAGTAATTTATTGAAAGTAACAGACAAACGCGAGCTTTATCGATTTTATCTTCTTTGATAATACCTGGCGAAGATGAAACTTACTAAATACAACCAGCACTAGTTTATTTTACATTTTTACAACAATCAAAAAGTTCTTGTATTGAAGAATACATTGTTTTCGGTGCAGTTCTGGGCTAAATGTGACAGGAAGTTAAAAAAATAAATGGAAATTTGATATGCTATTACAAATGAAAGAAGAGAGCGTGAAGCGTCGTTCCGGTGAACGTTAACCGTGTCATCCAATCAAACTTACCAATCAGGTTGAATAATGTCTGCTTTAAAAACATTAATGTGTGGAATATTGTTTGTTTAAACATTAATGTGCGGAATGATGTCCGTTTAAACATTAATGTGTGGAATATTGTTTGTTTAAATATTAATGTATTGACTATTGTTTGTTTAAATATTAATGTGGTGAATATTGTTTGTTTAAATATTAATGTATTGAATATTGTTTATTTAAATATTAATGTTGTGAATATTGTTTGTTTAAATATAAATGTATTGAATATTGTTTGTTTAAATATTAATGTGGTGAATACTGTTTGTTTAAATATAAATGTATTGAATATTGTTTGTTTAAATATTAATGTGTGGAATATTGTTTGTTTAAATATTAAGGTGTGGAATATTGTTTATTTAAATATTAATGTTGTGAGTATTGTTTGTTTAAATATAAATGTATTGAATATTGTTTGTTTAAATATTAATGTGGTGAATATTGTTTGTTTAAATATTAATGTGGTGAATATTGTTTGTTTAAATATAAATGTATTGAATATTGTTTGTTTAAATATTAATGTGTGGAATATTGTTTGTTTAAATATTAATGTGGTGAATATTGTTTATTTAAATATTAATGTTGTGAGTATTGTTTGTTTAAATATAAATGTATTGAATATTGTTTGTTTAAATATTAATGTGGTGAATATTGTTTGTTTAAATATTAATGTGGTGAATATTGTTTGTTTAAATATAAATGTATTGAATATTGTTTGTTTAAATATTAATGTGTGGAATATTGTTTGTTTAAATATTAAGGTGTGGAATATTGTTTGTTTAAATATTAAGGTGTGGAATATTGTTTGTTTAAACATTAATGTGTGGAATGTGATTTTTCGGTAATTTCGTTTCTCTTTTTCTGTCCTTTCTTTCTGTGTTTTATTTTCCACTCTTTTCTTACCGTGCTTGTGACTCGTCACTGTCTGTAAGAATTCAAAGTTTGAAAATCACGTAAGAGGATTTTCAAATAGCCGACACAAATAATGCAAATTAGAAACAGTAAAATATTAGCTAATGTAGGAAAAGGCTTACCTCTGTATATGGTTTAACAATGACTAAATTTAGGGTTCGATGTACCTTTATATTAAAATAGATAAGGCAATTAGGTAACTAATTATCTGTATACAATGTGCAAGTCTTTGTCTCACTTAGAAAACTCGACTGCTTATCAATACTGGTCAGTACGTAAAATATTATCCCTGGTTTCATTAACATTGACATCATGTTACTCTACACAAGTATTTTCTCTGTCAAACACTATATCTGTAGAAATGAACCTATTCAGTAGACAGTCAGTGAAAATCTCACAATAAAACTTTCCGCTTTATCACCGTTCAGGCTTAAATCGAACATGATCGGTGAGTATACAATAATCTACCGCATGTTCAGATAATGCAAAGAAATGGGCTTTTTAAGTAGGTCACCAATACACACGTTCTCAACGATTAGGAGGTAGATCTAGTGAACTGAATAAGCTGTACAACATAAATATTCAAATAGCAATTTCGGCATGGACTTTTTTTAAACAAATGTGTGTGCTTCACCATATGAAATGTGAGCAATCGAATTCCAAACAGGAGTGAAATCATCTGATGTATATTTGATACCATATGAATGTCTTCGCTGAATGCCACGCTTTTTTATTTTATTTTATTTTAGCACGTGCCTCGCATGGAGCGCGGAGGTCAGGTATTGTGTGATTTTAAACACGTGTACCTAGTGACCGTGAACAACACTTCAACGTGACCGAGTGTCATTATTCTAGGCCAAGCAATAAATCATTTGTAGTATATTTAGTGTACCCGGCGTTTCTTTTTCGTGTTAGTATATAAAGGAAACCACAATTTAACATATTGACTTTTTTTGTATTTAAACAGTACAATTATTACATACGAGTTGCATTTTCACAAGTACACCTGACACATGCGTACACACCATCTGTCTTAACACTCTAGATATCAAGAAAATGGGCGGAAAGAGCAGTCCAAATTTCCCAGCCCAATTAACTATAAATTCACTCTTCTCTTTATCTTGGATAAAACACAGCTTTCTTATTGTTATGACTAAAACAAACCAATCTACTTCAAATCTATCTGGCTTCAATCAGATATAGCACACTGAATGATATACTCCTATCATATCTGTCTACAATACGAGATATATAGTAAGCTCAGTCATTCAGATTTCTGTAACCATTCCAGTTCTATTGAAACTGATTTTAAAAATACTTACTAGATAAATTTCTAGATAAACATCCTACAACTCGCCTTTAATTATAGAACATTCTTAAACTATACTGCACACTCCAGCGTTGCAGAAAACGATTTCAACCTGAACGAAAGTAAAACCCTCAATACAGCTACCAACACTCTCCAAGTAGACGATTTTTTTAACTTTCCTTAATAGACAACATCCCACGAGCTACACTATCAACTGTATTACCTTTATAGCCAACAAAACTCGTAACGCTAGCATCGCTATAGGCAATCTTGGAATAAACCACGGTCACGTGATTGTCTGAAATCTAGTTTACTTAAAGTCTTTTTCCAAAATTGAAATTGCACGATACTCTCATTGGACAATTTGATATAAGAATTCCAAATGTAAGTTGTCTGTACATCCATGGAAAGATATGTAATCATATTCTGCGACAGATTCCCTATTACTACCTTCATAGAAATGATCTGTTCTAAGAAACAAGCAACTTTCACCACCTGTACTCGTTATTTCTACTGTAACCAAAGCCTCCTCAACTCTACGGACTGCAATATATATCAACATAAACATCCAATTCCTGTGTTAATAACCAACGATGTTTTCTACTTTGGGTATAGAACCAAATTTTAACCAATTTTCCTTGATCTCATCTGCTGCTAATTGAGTGAGAGAGACAGGAGAACCACACCTAAATCCACCGTCACAAAACACTCAGCCCTCACCTCTCCATTTACCAGTGGCGTTGTTATTTTCGTAAAAGTGTACGGAGCTCTTGATAAACCAAAGGGTAAAAATCTAAATTTGAAATAATTAATTGACTCAAAATAAATAAATGTTCACACAATGATTTGCTGAATGCATGTCGAACATAAATATCCCTATTCTAAATACATCAAAGCCAACCTCAAATTTCACAGGTTGTTCCCATTAACCAATCTCAAATCTAATACCAATCTCTTCTTTTTGTACGTAAACAGTTAATGGATTTACAACCATTAATACATTATCATATTTTCCCATTAAACCCCTGTCTAAAAATCTTAATAGTTTGAACCACAAACTCCTCCTCTTTCAAAACTGACCTATTGTTGTTCAGAAATAATCTATCTGGTTCTGGTTGTGAAGGAAAGGGAAGTTTATATCCATTAAATCATGTAGCCGTAATAAAATCACAAGGCCCTATTTCATGCCAAAAATCTAAGCCTTTTAACCTTCCCTTTACTATAATGTATTTTGCCCTTCCTCGTTTAATAATAATCATGGGTAAACACGCGGGTAAACACGCTATCATCAATTGTCCAAAACTCATCGATGAAAACTCCCGAATTCACTATATTTATACCATCATTCCCCCCCCCCCCCAACCCCCCCAACCCCCCTTGTCCATTTCTCTGTTTTTATAGAATATCACAAGACACTAACATCCTGAAGAGTATTTGGTTCTACATCATCAGGGTATTAAGAAGATTTTTTGGATTTCAGTGAATTTGACCCATTTTTATCCCGTCCAACAGCCCGTTGGGGTCAGTCGAGGTCAATGTGTGCATCTCATTATATTGATAAGGTTAAGATAATGTTTCTAACCAGATTTGACCTACTTCCAGTTATAAGAAAAACGCAAATAATGTTAAAAGTGTGATTTTCCAATATAAAATATTGTTAACTTTACCCCTCTCCAGGGGGAATTGTGAGACCCTGGGGCCATGAAATTTACATCAGACATACATCATTGCTCATATTTTGCCACAGATTAATTGAATGTGAGTTTGGACTAATTCATGTTCTCATGTTGGTAATTTCTTGTTGTTTAATATGAATCAAATAAGCTACCAAACATACCGTAGTTACAACACTTACATTGTTTTAAAATGACCCAAATTGCTTCATTAAAAAGTTCAACTAATAAATTATAAACTGAACAGATTTTTATCGTCAGTAGAAGACTGGCTGCAGCACAGACGCACGTAGTGTACGAGACATTACGGAATCGATCAACGTTTTAGGCTGTACTATAAATCTCTGTACACTAAGGTCGAAAATAGTCTGACGAGATGTAAACATAAGAAAAATTTGCAAAATAATTTATCGCCGTTTTTCATTTAGTTCAAATATCGCACTTCTGTGTCTATATCAATTAATATTTTACCAGCGTGTACAAAGTAACGTTAATCTGGCTATGAAGATCGATAAATAAAGTTAATTAATAGTACTGATAGTAGACGCAATATCAAGCAATTAGCAAATTCTGAGTATTGTAGCAAACAACAGCAAACTTTTCGTTTCAGTTTCTTAACATTCTCAGTTTTAGCAAAATATCACCAGTGAAACCGGAGACATGAATGTTTCATAATGGTTGTCATGTCGGTTATCTGAGAATTTGTAACAGTTCCTGGTCAGAATCATTTCAATGTTATTTCTAGAAATGTTGCACTGGATCCTATTTTGTGAACTATGTGTTTTTAAGGAAAATCATAATTGCGCAATGATATTTCAAAATGACCTTCTTGTTAGACATATCATAGCTTTAGCGAGGGTGCAAAAATACAGCAACAATGTGTGATAGTTTTCCTTATTATCGATACTTTCCACTTTAATTGCACCGTTGGAATCAGAGAAGTTAATTGTTTTTTTTAAGATGGCGATCATACCGACCATGTTGTATTGGATTATTTCAGACCAAACGAAAAAACAGCACTTGGTAAGAACAAACACATGATCGTACCAAACAAATTTAAGCTGAATGCCAGTGATGAGACTTCACAAGTATAGAACGTAAAAAAGTGTTCGGAAGGTGGACAGCACGGTGCTGACAACGCAAAGCGACAGACTAAACATAATGGTTATAGACACTGATCCTTTGTTAAGATGACCTAAATATTTGTGTTTTTATAATACCCCTTTTTCTTATTATACAACCATTATTCCTTCTAGTCAGAACTGGTACGTTGTAAATGATCCATACAAAGACTTGATAATAAACCATAGGACGCATACCTTATTTTCATGATTTCCAACAATCACATTTGACTGAAGAATTAGATAAGATCACTGTGAATTGTTCCAAACCAAGTTTAGAGAACAACCATCCGGTTTTCAATAGCACATGGCTATATCACTGTCAACATCATAGTAATTAACTTCGTTTTAAATTTTTGTTGTATTGTTTATGAAACTTGAACATGATCTAACAGATGATTCGCATCATTAATTTTTCTTTCAGCAAGTTTTAATCAGAGAGCAGCAGGTAGCTTAGTAAATGACTTATTTTCAATAATGAAAAAACGAGTTTGTCAAGTGGGCTCAATATGTTGACATGTTGATGTTTTCTTGTTATTGTTTCTCTTATAGTGTTCATATTATTATTATTTCTCTAATAGTGTTAACATTATTATTATTATCTCAATCATATCTCAGGAATTCAGGAATGAAATTTGAAAATCGCACAAATTGAATAGTTGCTAATATTGAGAAATCCTGTCCATTAATGGATTATAAATATGGAATTCACTAAAGAAAATATACAAGAGAAAAGAAAACTTTAGATAACAAACATATATGCTTAGTCTAAGCTAATGTCACGATGCAAGTGGACTTATCTCATGAGTGTTTCATTTTGTTAAACATAACATAAGGACTCCTCACCGCCATGATGGTAAGACAATTATTGAAGTATGATGTAGCAATAACTTATATGAATACATCATTTACTTTACATTAAAATCGCATTAAATCTAACAAAGCGTTTGCATGTTCATACAAGTTGTATTGAACTATGTATGAATTGTCTTCTTATCCGCTCAGTACTGGTCGATTTCCTGGACAGTGGTCGTAAAGATACACATTAACGACATAAACGTATGAATAATACATAGGATAATAAATAGGTTTCTGTTGAATATTGTATGAGACAAATTATCATTTTTATTGTGTTATATTGAGATCAAGTCATTTAATCTCAAATGTTATAAATACACGTTGTTTACAATAATTATATTCCGATTTGCCGTTCTGTTGGATAATGTTTCAACGTTAATAGAAAAGAAATGATAGAAATAATAAAAAAAACAATACAATAAGATTCAAATACATCGATACTAGGGAAAAAACAGAATCCTGTAGACATCTTACCTGAGATAAGTCATAAGAAAATTGTCAAAATCACATTCCAGTTACACAGCTAAATAGCATATATAATGACCTTAAAAATTCTATATGACAATCGGCTATATGTTATATGTTTTCAGCACATACTGTATTATAATAGCATTCTTTCTCCCTAAAAAATCATCAAATTTGCGCAAACAATGGAAAAACAGTGTAGTTACTAGTTGAGTAACCTAAAAATTTCTTGCTTTCAGCAAGTTTTAATCAGAGAGCAGCAGGTAGCTTAGTAAATGACTTATTTTCAATAATAAAAAAACGAGTTTGTCAAGTGGGCTCAATATGTTGACATGTTGATGTTTTCTTGTTATTGTTTCTCTTATAGTGTTCATATTATTATTATTTCTCTAATAGTGTTAACATTATTATTATTATCTCAATCATATCTCAGGAATTCAGGAATGAGATTTGAAAATCGCACAAATTGAATAGTTGCTAATATTGAGAAATCCTTTCCATTAATGGAATATAAAAGTCAAGGATAAATATGGAATTCACTAAAGAAAATATACAAGAGAAAAGAAAACTTTAGATAACAAACATATATGCTTAGTCTAAGCTAATGTCACGATGCAAGTGGACTTATCTCATGAGTGTTTCATTTTGTTAAACATAACATAAGGACTCCTCACCGCCATGATGGTAAGACAATTATTGAAGTATGATGTAGCAATAACTTATATGAATACATCATTTACTTTACATTAAAATCGCATTGAATCTCACAAAGCGTTTGCATGTTCATACAAGTTGTATTGAACTATGTATGAATTGTCTTCTTATCCGCTCAGTACTGGTCGATTTCCTGGACAGTGGTCGTAAAGACACACATTAACGACATAAACGTATGAATAATACATAGGATAATAAATAGGTTTCTGTTGAATATTGTATGAGACAAATTATCATTTTTATTGTGTTATATTGAGATCAAGTCATTTAATCTCAAATGTTATAAATACACGTTGTTTACAATAATTATATTCCGATTTGCCGTTCTGTTGGATAATGTTTCAACGTTAATAGAAAAGAAATGATAGAAATAATAAAAAAAAAAAAAAAAAACAATACAATAAGATTCAAATACATCGATACTAGGGAAAAAACAGAATCCTGTAGACATTTTACCCGAGATAAGTCATAAGAAAATTATCAAAATCACATTCCAGTTACACAGCTAAATAGCATATATAATGACCTTAAAAATTCTATATGACAATCGGCTATATGTTATATGTTTTCAGCACATACTGTATTATAATAGCATTCTTTCTCCCTAAAAAAATCATCAAATTTGCGCAAACAATGGAAAAACAGTGTAGTTACTAGTTGAGTAACCTAAAAATTTCTTGCTTAGAGTTATCTTTAGATAGCTACCGTTTCATCATAAAAACGTGTTTGTGAATTACTGGATTTTGGACTTTCTTTTCGCCTACTCCCTAATTTTTGACTGAATATCAAAGCACTGAGAGTGCATGGTCAAATCATACAACAAACATAACACCATGACCGATAGGCACCCATCTTTATTTTTGATAATTAAAGTTTCCTGCTATTTCAAAATGATATTTTGAATAGATCGTTCTCATATAAGGTGTTACATATGATAGGGTGCTTTAACGATATAAAATGATTTAAAGCAGCCCTTCACTAAACCAAACAAATTATATTAAAACACTCACCCTTAACTCGTTATATAGCATTCACTGATAATTTTCAGTAGCATACATATTCGTCTTTAGATTTTTACATAATAATTTGCATTCTATGTAGACATTATATGCAAAAACACACACTTGAATAGGAATAACAATTACAAAAATGGACATGTCTTATTTTTAAAATTGATATTTATTTTCAGTAAGTATGACGCCATATGAGCTTATGTTCATATGCATCTGTATTATCAACAGGGTTTCCCACTTATCATATAAAATTGTAAATCTCAACGAAGCAACACGGTTGTATTCCTTAATCTAAAAAGATATGCAGAAAAAAAACACAATACAAACATATTTATTTGTTTTTTCATCATTTTCATCCAACATGATTGGACTGATGAGGGCGCCTTGAGGAAAACCAAAAGCAGTTTCCATGTAGTAGCATTGGAAATGAGGTTACAAAATGTTCATAACCTGGTGAATAGAAACTATTGTACCACCAACTTTGATAATTGAACTAGGTCTCTCCAATGCCCATACAGTCATATCCCTTGCAGCTGTTCTAGAAGTATAAAAGAAGTGATGTGAAAATTGAATAATATTAAAATTTTGACCAATCAGAAGTCAGGATTTGGCTGCCAAATTTACAAGTTTAATTGTTTGTGTGTCAAAATCAGAGGTTATGCGGCCAATCATCTAAGCCTTCCCTTTACCATAATGTATTTTGCTCTTCCTCGTTTAACAATAATCATGAGTAAACACACTATCATCAATTGTCCAAAACTCATCGTTGAAGGCTCCCGAATCCACGATATTTATACCATTATTTTTTTAGTTAGTAGTTGCTATCTCGAAATTTCGTGATAAAATAAAACACAACGTGGCCGGAATACGCTTCCATATATATATATATATATATATATACCGTAAAGCCGATAATTTTCAACCGTCAAAAGATTCGCGATTTTCTTTTGAAAGGAACGAATAATGTTTTAACGAATAAAAATCTTGCGATCTGGATGTCAAGTGACATTTAATTCACATCTGTCTCATTATTTCTAAGATTAATTTTTCGCGTTCACGTTAGCACTTTCGAAATGACGATAATGTAATCCTCGCGAAAATAACCGGTTATACGGTAGTATTGGTGAACTAGAAATTGAATTGAATAACATTCAGACGAGTATAATGGACATGCTTTATTATGCTTGATATAAAGCAACATTTAAGGAAATGTTGAAATACCAATGTATGTACTTATGTATCGTGCTGGAATAAAAGATTAAATTTCAGAGTGACATTATTTGAACATTTGAAACACTGATGTGATTTCCATTTTAGGCATGTTTCTTTTGTATGACAACCTCTGAGAAGATGAGATAGGGTTTGAAGTCAGAATGCTCAAATGCATAGGCCTTTAATCTAATAAAATATTGATCAATAATCATATCTCTCTCGCCTTTAGTTCGGGATTTTGATAGTCCTCCATCAAACACATGGTATAGCCACGGGAAGACAGCATCAGATATTTTACGGGCATATTCCCGTTTTTCTGTCTCATCTGTAATAGATAAACATAAGTCTTTATTTCTAAAGAATAAACAAATCTATTTTGATATTGGTTTATTATCACAGAAAACCATTGCAATCGTCTGTTTTGACCCTTACGTACACGTTTGTTGAAAAACAAATCAAGACCGTCGTTAATTTGTGTGTCGTTAGTATCAATTTCAAGACGCTTTTTTTCTTCTGAAACACCGAAAATATCTAATGTGGTGATGACGGTGTTCTATTAATATTATGAATTCCACTCACTTTTATTGGCAATATCAAATACAGGGTGTTTGAGATACTGTTTCATCGACTTGATTGACACCATTTCCAATCCAAGTTCTACCACCTCTGGTATGGCACTGCTGAATTCCATAAAATCTGCTGCTGTTCTCACGTAATGGTTTGAAAAATTCATGGCCCGATATTCTTCCTGTGAATATATATATATACTGTTTCAAAGATATCGCATGCGGCAACTTTAGTTATATACACGTTCTTATAGAACATACTTGTTCATTTCAGAAATGTGAATTGTCAACATTTGGCAATAATGTTTGATGTCGAGACATCAACACAGAATTCAGAGAACGAAAACGGCAGTTAGCAGTTCAATGAATGATAAATTTTATCAAAGGCTGTCCAGTTTCAACATCAGATTTCATCAAAACAACATTACCACATTTTTTATACCAAACCTTAGTGATCACGTCTTCTTTAACCATGTCAAAAATGAAACTTCCTAAGTTTCCATTTCCCCCCTCTATGTGGGACGTCACATGATTTTGCTCGTCTACTGACGCGTTCAATGAAACAAGAAACCCCCCTGCAATATAAACAAGAACAGCAAGAAAGTATCAATATCTGATTAAAATCGTAATCAAGTTTCAATTTTAATACATCTATGCAAAAATATCGATTGCAAAATACCAAGGTGTCAACAGAATCTTAATCCCACTTCAAAATGTCGTAAAACTTAAGCAAAAAGAGACATGAAAATACCAACAATTCAACGTAATAAACTAGGTCAAATAAAGAAAAAAAATCGACATGTAAAACGGATCAAATTACAATGACGAGAAATAGCGGAAGTAACCCCAACCAAACCTCAGTCCCGAGGCGGCCATCTTGGATGTCGTATAAAGCAAAGGTGTACCAGTAAACACCATAATGATAATATACGCAACGTTTCACGAAAATTCATGGGGATGTTTCTTGGATAAACCGCAGAAATAGATGGCGGAATAATGATAAAAATAATAACAAAAACCAGAACAGTAATGACTTCATTGGTCAATCCTAGTAAATAATGTCACGTCCTCAAACATGAACATGTATACAACAACGGACCCATCAGGCAACCTAACGAGCATCAAATACGTCCATCTTCCCATCGCACAAAAAAAAATACGCAGTAGCATGCATATCAATGAGATCACTACAACGACCGTAAAACTTCCATGTGATCTTCGTCAACCATGCATCTTTTGAAATCTTGTGCTATGAGTTTGTCAATGGATGACATCGTCATGAAAATATATTGCGAAATTTACAGCAAGAGGTGGAAAAGATTTTTTGGGGGATGCTAAAGCTTTTCCTTCCATTGGCAGACTGGTATTGGCAGTTTGTTTTTAGATAGAGTGTTCTGTAAAATGTGCCTTATCTGTACTCAACGTTTTGAATTAGAAAGGATATCCAGGCACATGAGTTCGAAAAACAGTGTTGCCCAAGATGTTTTATTCAAACATAAACAACATTTGTTATGATAAGTGTAAGAAGGAACTATGTGTATTAATTAAAATGACCAAAATAAGGATTATCGCATACCATGATGATTTGATTATGGTTGATGTTTTGTTAGTAAAACGATCGATGCTGTCTCCATTCAATTCAACAACAATAATAATAGGAGATGATGATGATAATCAAGTAACACTCTAACACATTTTGTTTGCGATTCTGACAAATTTATATAAAGTTTTAACAATACATCTTTGAAAGAATAGTGTTTCATTTATTCATTTCACTTTCATATCGTCAGCTAGCGGGGGTCTTAGAACAAAAGTCAGTGTTATCACAGTGCGGTTGCACAATATCGGAATCTCTGCCAAGGATTTTACAAAATGTAATGAACCTGAGTATTGAATATTCCTACACTACAAATACATATTCATTTTAAGCATTAATTAAACTTTTTGTGTTATTGAGCCATAACAAAAGATCAGAGGTCACTTTAAATTCTTAAGAATCTGTCTGCATTTTCTTTGTTGGTTTTGTTTCACAATTGTTGTGAAATGCTTTAAGTTTGTTATCTCTGTCAGTCCATTGCTGAAAGAATGTATAATACGCTGTGAAATACATCATACCAGAGCTATGCTTTATGTGTGTGTGTGTGTGTGTATAATCATAATTTGAATATGTAAAAACAATCAACAAGTAACCAATTTAACCTTATTCTCCACAAATTTGATTAGTTTAACTGATACATCGGCATATTTTCGTTCTGAAATCTCTTGATGCTTGGTTCAGTTGTTGTACCTCTTTCCTTTCATTTCAGAACGAGATTTAACTAACCTGGATTGAAAACAAGATTTATATGGCGGGTGTTTTTTTATGAATCGGAAAACTTGGTTTGGCCTTGCCTTTTTCAAGAGTCACCATGTAAATCCTGCTTTTGTTCATATTTCGCTCTAGTTTTATTGAATGTTTATCTTAGTTCCTGATTCTATTGAAATGTTGGTATTATTTCATCACTGTAACAATTCAAGATTATTCTATGTCATCCTATCCGATTTGCCATAACGTAATAGAGTTTAGTTCTGAAATTCCAGTAACCTTTAGATTACAGTGATCATGTGAGGACAAAGGACTGTTGCTCATAATGACAAAAACATTGTGTTAGGTCAGATGTGCGAAATCTTATATTTGAGACCGTTATTCTCCTGTAGGATATTAAAGGAACATAATTTCCGGTCAAATTTTTCACCAGGGATGTTTGGACATAACAAGATAACTTTTTGACCGTGTTTTCAGGTTTACTTAAATCAAAGGAGGCATGCAAAAACTGAATTAAAATATATATAAACAAATCACTTTGTAGGGGTTGTGGTCTATTGATCGCATATTAATAAGCAGATTTGATCTCTGATATGTGAAAACTCTACCCATTGTGCCACGATTTCAGTAGAGAGAATTGTTATTATAGTAGTAGTATTGATAAAGATCATGTTTAGTGTTTATAGCAAATACATGTGAGATATGTATTTTGCATCAATAAACGAAACCAACAAATACCTATTTATGATTTTACAAACCAGGTTTAAGTTCACGTCCCCTCGAAATCACAAAATCTCTCCAATCGGCTTTGCCTTGTTCTTTCATCACACTTTGTTCATTGTCATCTGCCTCTTCAAAGAACACGCCATTTTGAATTTGCCAAACTCTGTAAAATGTTTACATATCTAATTTTTAAAAATGTCAATCATCAGAATACATAACGTTATAATATCCAATTTTTCAATAATGAGCCGTTAAATTGACAAATATTTAAAGATTTTTTTTATCTTAGATATTGCATTTGAAAACAACATTTTACCTAAAATATTTTAACTGCCATACCTTACCGGAATATCACTTAACTTTGATATGCAAAATTTAAGTTTCAAAATTCGATAACGGTTTTAAATCAATTTAAATCAAAATATGTTTGAAAAGTAATATTTTCTCTTTTAGATAATTGTCAACGAAAACGTCATTAAATGTGCTGAAATAATTTTGCATTATACATACGTTTAGCGAAAAGAATAAATCAAATAAGTTCGCATATCCTACTGTCAATTAATAGCATTTAATACACTGAATTCTGACCAGTTCCAAGCAAAGTCGCCTTTTATGGTGTTGTCTAAAAAAAGATACAGTCTGAAGATTGGAATCATGTGTTTCTTTTTCAATACATACTGCTTTGACAAATAGTGTGTAGCTACAAAGGACATCGCCAAACCCAGAGAGTTGTTAGGGAGACACTGGTCGTACATAGATCTAGGGACAACCACAGAATAGATGTTACTGTCGACTCTTAGTCCGGGATGATGCCCGAGACCAAAATAAACGGATACATATGTAAATATGTAATTATGTTTTTAAATACAATCTTTACTAAAATCATGTAAACAATGTAGAATTGAAGCATGTTTTCTCGAGTGATTATCATATATTAATCATAATGTTTCATACTTTAGCATTGATTTAATATAATGGATTGATGATTGTGTGTGTGAAACTATTAGAAAACTGGGTGTAGTGAAATTTGCAAGACGTATATATGCTGAATAAATAGTAAATAACAATTTCGAATTAATTTTAAGTAAACATTGCCTGAGGATGCTTCCGAAGAAAAGTATAATCCTTAATTGTTGTCCTTATAGAATCAAGCTATTATTATTTTTTTTCTCATGATTATAATCAGATATGAAGATGAACTACATTATAACCAAACCTGTGATAACTTTAGATAGAATATTGAAGTCATTCAATGGTTGATCGTTACAGTACACGTTAATCACTTGGTCCTTCCCCAAAATTTCCTGCACGACATCTGTAAATAAATTTATCTAGATATATCTTAAAATCGCAATTATCAAAATAATAAAAGGAATTTGTTCGATGAAAGGAAGTGAATTTTCTGGCAAATGGAGGGATAGGAAAAGCAAATACACCAGATTCTCGTCCATTCCGTTGTCCATGCAAGCAACAAAAATACAATATCTATATTTACATAAACCATTTCAAAACCACCAATGGAATATACTGTCAGGTGAACTTGTAGTTAACACGGATTTATTTGTCAGCAAGCAAATGATACAACACCAAAACACGAAGTAATTATCATAATATAGATGCTAATATAAGATAAGTCATTTCCAATGACTATGAAATTCGTTTTCAAAACGAAAAACCCTTCAGACAAGAATAGTTTTGTAAAGAATATGACAATGCTTAATGTAACAATTGTTACAGTCAGAAACCACATACCTGTGAGAAAAAATACCAACATTTCAACAGAATCTTCATCTAAATTCAATAAAGCAGGGACAAAATATGAACAAAAGAAAAAAATATACGGAGATTCCTGAAAAAGTACAAGGAAAATAAGACCAGATGCTGTGAAAGAGTGAGCGTTTTCTCCTTCATTCAAGACATCCGCAATGATCGAATGTGACGAATGAATAAGACCATAATTCTAAGATTGCAAATCACTCGAACAAACTTATGCAAGGAACATAAGACCGCTTGTACAGAACGTCTCTTAAGCAAAATATGCTAACTTGGCCACCTGGACATGTTCGCTTTCGTGCGTTTCCAAGTGAGTATCTGTCAAATTTTCATTGACTGATATCTTGCCATACTAAATTTAAATTAATTGCACGATATTGTAGATATAGGTATGATTTTAATGAGTCTGCAGATTACCACCTGTCTTGTAAATATAAGTCGAATAAGGAAGATATCCCTCAGAATAGGAAACAATGGGATAATCAGGAAAGATTACCCTTACATTGTAAATTTTTAAAAAATATAGTAAATGCTTTTTAGCGTCTTCATGAATCTGCAGTTTCTTGGAATACCATTATGAAAAACTGTCTCTCAAAGGTAAAAGAACAATTGTGGCATTTTGCTTCCCCTGACAATGTTCGACAACATGTCATTCCCCTTGCAACTTACCTATCATTTCATTGATGAGGGAAAGAGATGCTCGCCCGTCTGCAGTTCCATAATCCGCTATGCTTACTGGCAGATCTGTCTTGTTCATCGATGTCGATCTTATCATTGTTTCTGGAAGAATTAAACAAACACCACTACATAATTTCATTTTACAATCTATAGAACCGAATATTACCTTATTATATACAATCTACTTAGAAGAGATGAAAATGTATGTTTATCGGTTGATTTATATCTTTAATACTTAATCAATATATTCGTGAAAAATGTTTTCGTTTACAGATATAGGTAAAAATAAAGCGATCCACATTGACTACTAACTAGGTGGCTAACTATCGTAGTAAAACACAAACGTTATTAAAATGTTATTTATTAATGTAGTGCAACATACTACGTGAAAAACGAAATAAAAACGGACTGATTTTCGTTAATAATAAACAAATATAGAATTTGAATTTTTTTAGTGTGGCTAACTTTGGGTGCGTTTGAACCACAATTGTTTGTCTCTTGAGATGTGATGACGTATGTACGTTTTATCTTTTGAAAATAGTTGAAACCAGTTCTACAGCTCATATAAAGTATTTTTCAAAGTGATTATCTAAATAAATGTCGGCAAACGAGAGGTAACGTAATACAAAGGAACGGTGTTTTAACACCCCCACCCGACCCCCATTAAGAAACGGGCTTCTGTTCAGAAGAGGTCTATTTTTTTAGGGATGTCATTTTCGGCTCTACTATTCCCTGATTATTTAAAGCTGTGTACCCAAAGACTCTATGAATATCCAGGAAGATATCAACGTATATAATTAGTACTTCAGATAAGGTATGCAGGAAGTTATTAACTTATATAATTAGTACTTCAGATAAGGTATGCAGGAAGTTATTAACTTATATAATTAGTACTTCAGATAAGGTATGCAGGAAGTTATTCGCGTATATGATTGATATATTCTTTATTGTCATGGTGAATGCTACATGAAGTTTAGTTCCATATACAAGGATGGGGTGTGATAAGCAAGTATTACTTAGTTTATCCAGGATTGTGTCTCGACAGAGATTGCCTGCATGACCATGGACGCTAAACATCTCGTCTTCGTCGTCATTCTCCGTTCGCTGTATCTCCATAGTTGGGAAATATCTTTAAAATAGAGAAAGATATAGAATAAGATAAGCCAGCATGGAAAACAGAATCAATTGACGATAAAGGATAAGATATTAGTTGTTCGATCCTAATCATCGTGTTGTTATCACATGCCTCTCTTTTATCCCTCTTTATGTTACTGTTGTTTGGCTGGCAGTAGAATTGAATATCGAATTTAGTTACAGATTTTCTCCGCTTGACTCATTAAAACAGGAAATGTCATTACGGTTTTATTCATATAAGCCAGTGAAAATGACAGGATTAAAAGCCATGACCTATCATTATATTTTCTAAGCGATGTCAAGTACAAAAACTACGGCATGCAATCCAATCTTGGCTGGAAGCTGTAGCCATTTTTCACAACACAATGATGATTTTATTAGGTGATACAACAACATTTAGAAATAACAGACAATGTGATTTCTTTTTATATCTATATGGTAAATAATATAAAATTTCCTACCCAATATATACATCATGAGAATATAGCATATGCCTATTAGTATAAAGTTGCCATGTATCTACCTAAAAATATGTGGTTTTATGGCATCGTATCAACAACCATGGTCATATGAGGAGTGTCCACGGAGGATGTAGTCACTGACTGACGTTTTGTATAGTGTAAACATACTGGAATGCCATAGTCTGAATACGATAGCGTGATACCTACAGTTTCTCGTTCAAATCACAGTGACACAAACGAGCTACCAGGCCTGACAGATAACGAAAACGTTGAATTCAACATCAAAGGTGATGCGCTGCCAAGTCAGACATTATAAAGATAAGAGTTGTTGAGGATGACGAGAGTTCATCAAGTTTCTACAAATCATCTGAATGTTTATATAACAATTTGTATCTAATTATCACAATAGTTTTTCATAACCTTGTACTTGGAAGTTCATAGTTCATTTATACGTACCCAGTTATCATTTGAAGGCGGAGACACCAATTGGTTAAAGGACACAATTTCGACAACACAGCTTCATGGGAATCAGAAACCACCAAGATATGACATTTAATGCAGGTTGTAAAAATGGATGGATAGTGCGTCTAGACTTCACATTTTTCGTTCACATTTCATACTGTGCAATAATGCCCAATATTGCGATATTTCGAGATGCCTTATTCTAAACAATTAATCCCGTGATTTGATGATTTTGCAAGCATGATTCTTCGGAATACATTTTAAATATCTTCACAATCCAGAGGTGGGTTTTATTTAAAACGTTAAAACGAATGATCCTTGGACAGTCCACGCTAAATGTGCATTTTTAGAGTTTATCCCAAACTCAGAATTGTCGTTAACTTTCAGAAATGACGATAACGTTAACCAGTTCAGCTGATCATTGTGTCCAAATTGGTGGATGTTAGTGTAAAGATTCTGACTACGTTTTGGTATTTTGCAATCAAGTAATAAGTTAGAAATTGCAGTCACGGTGGCCATAGTATAACATGATTGTACAATTCTTATTTTTCCAAACCACATTTATCTAAACTTTATGTTTTTAACAAGTACATCAGCATTGTTTGTAATGATTTAAAGATGGTGCAATCCACGTTTTGATGTGTTTGGTCTGCCTATACCAATAAGCACGAAGATATATCACTACAATGGTTTTCTTGTATATAAATATTTATTGTACATTGTCAGATACTTCAGTTCCCTATAAAATATTTGATTTCAAGCTATTTTAATAGGTCTAACTGCAAAGTTTAAAAGCTACAGCTCATATAAAATTTATACCGATAAAAATCGAATTATTCTCATTAAAGCTTTACATTAAATACTTGTAGTTCAGTTTATTCATTGGTCAAATGAAAAAAAAGATAAATGTATTGATCAGACCTATATTAATTCCGGTTTTGTAAACAGCATATTTATAAAGTCAATGTACACTTAAAAAATTACTAAAGTAAATATAAAATACCTTGACATCTTTCTTGTTTTTTCTCTAATCTTCTTGCTGATTTCTTGAAAAGACAAAAACAAATTGCGTCTATTGCACGGAGTTCAAACTGTAATACCAGTGAATGAACATACAGAAGAGTCAGCTGACTCTTGCTATGGATTTCATTGATTTCATATAGAACATCAACAACAATTTATTAACTCCAGATGGCTGTTATCTATTGTGTCCACGTGGAATTTTTTTGCACAGCGTATATATGATGTAGCAGATGTTGATAGCATTGACTTTTCTTTCAGCAGAATTTAAACGAGTATTTAACCTACATAGCTGCGAAATGTTGGCTCGATATCCGACATTTAACATTCGAAATTTGATATTGCACAGATCGGCCAAGTGGATAAATAGAAGAGTGTAATTAAAGAATTCACTGAAAGAGGAAAGGGGTGTTTAAATTCTAAGGGTATTTTGACAAAACATTTTTTCTATAATTTACTATCGATTGCGAATGGCTAATTTAATGTTCAAATAAACTATCTCGTAAAAGAGATCATCACATTTTAAGGTTATTCAAATATCACATGGTAACGTACAGCATTTTTGATTGGATAATTTTCGGTTTGTTATCGATCTAACCATGAATTGCCAAGTCTTTGCTACAGCAATAGTTAAGACGCTAGTACAAACATTGCTATCATCTTTCTCATCTTTACGCGATCATATTGACTTTGGGCAAATTCTTCATAGACGACAAGACGTATCGTCTACGATAAAGTGATATTGTGGTTACAACTTAACCGCAGAAGTCGTACAAATAATGAACAGACGCATAATTGAACACTTTTAGGTCGGCGTCGAATAACACAGTATGGCTGTTGGTTCCTTTGATATTACCAAGCATTGCAATACTTATCTGAATTGAGCATGATTTACAAAGCTGATGTCGTCGATAAAGCAGAAGACATATTAACTTCTGGAACCCGGTGTCATTCTCTTTGCACTCTTCTGGAGTCCCCATGTAAATCTTTCTGTTTTTGTTTTGTTTTTTTGTTTTAGTTTTTTGTTTTTTGTTTTTTGTTTTCTTTAGCAGAGTTATGGAAGAATTTACAAAAGACACACAATTGGATAACACTCATCATTACAAATACGTAGATACGGAAGAGCCCCACAATGAATTAAACTGTATCATTCATGGCCTTCAAATGACTTACAAACAACGTTTCAATCAATCATCGTTGAATAGCTGCTCAATATCGTGAAAACCAGTCCAGGAAAAGAGATGCCATACACGATTATTAAAAAAAGTTTAAGATTGCTTTATGATCCATGGGCATGTTAACCATTTTAAGTAGTCCCACCATCTCAAGGGACATAGTTATAGGTGGTTAAAATGATTAAAATTTAAGGTATCGGCAAATCAGGCATTAGAACGAAACAGAAGTTTGAGGTATATATGGATATAGAGAACACTGACGTGGGAGCAGGTGTTTTTTTCTCCTAAATTGTTTCGAAAAAGCTTTTAAAATCTGATAACATAGACCTTTGTTGTATTGATCAATATATGAATTGACTACTTATCCGAGGAGTATTCTAAACGCATTTGTATATTTCCTGGAGAGTGGTTTTAACGACATATTTAGTATATTATCGTATGAATAATGCACGGGGAAATAAATGAGTTTCCTTTGAATATTCTCTGTGATAAGTTATCATTTTTTATTGTGTGAGAAAGCGATTGATGTCATATAATCTAAAATGTCATAAATACACGTTGTTTACAATAAATGTATTCCGATTTGTCGTTCTGTTAAATATATTTCCAATGTTAACAGAAATGAAATGATAAAATTAATAAAATAATGATAAAAATAAGATTCACATACATCAATACTAGGGAAAACAGAATCCTGCAGACAAAAATCATAAAACAAACAAACAAACAAAATCGTCTTATCGTCTACCCTCTAATTTATGACTGCATATCAAAGCATTGAGAGTACTTGGTCAAATCATACAACAAAAATAATCTATCAAGTGTAGGATTAATTGCTCTCCAGTTTTGACATAATTTATTACATTAGACTTAGTGCATGTTCCAATTTGTGACCAATCAAACACCATGGCCGATAAGGAGCCATCTTTATTTTTGACAATTAAAGTTTCCTGCTATTTCAAAATGATATTTTGAATAGATCGTTCTCATAGAATCTGTTGGATATGATAGGGTGCTTTAATGATATAAAATAATTCAAAGCAGCCCTTCAATAAACCAAACAAATTATATTAAAACACTCACCCTTAACTCGTTATATAGCATTCACTGATAATTTTTAGTAGCATACATACTCGTCCTTAGATTTCTACATAATTTGCATTCTATGTAGACATTATATGCAAAAACACACACTTGAATAGGAATAACAATTATAAAAATGGACATTTCTTATTTTTGAAATTGATATTTATTTTAAGTAAGTATGACGCCATATGAGCTTATGTTTATATGCATCTGTATTATTAACAGGGTTTCCCACTTATCATATAAAATTGTAAATCTCAACGAAGCAACACGGTTGTATTCCTTAATCTAAAGATATGCAGGAAAAAACACAATACAAACATATTTATTTGTTTTTATCATTTGCATCCAACATGATAGGACTGATGAGGGCACCTTGAGAAAAACTTCTGGGTTGCGCGTTCGAGACCCATGTGGAGCAGTTTCCATAATCTGGTTAATAGAAACGTTTGTACCACCAACCTTGATAATTGAACTAGGTCTCTAAAATGCCCACACAGTCATATCCCTTGCAGTTGTTATGGAAGTATAAAAGAAGTGATGGGAAAATTTAATAATATTTAAATTTTGACCAATCAGAAGTCAGAATTTGGCTGTCGAGTTTATAAGTTTAATTGTTTGTGTGTGTCAAAATCAGAGGTTATGCGGCCATCCTGAATAAGGGAAACACCTAAAGCTTTGCAATCACAACTACGTCTTTTGGAGAGAGAGAGAGAGAGAGAGAGAGAGAGAGAGAGAGAGAGAGAGAGAGAGAGAGAGAGAGAGAGAGAGACAGAGACAGAGACAGACAGACAGACAGACAGACAGAGACAGAGACATAACTCTGAAGTAATGTTTTTGAATGTCAACATGTTTGGGTACTCAATGTTTATGGAATGTTTATTCTTACTTAAACACAAACGCTACATTGTAACAATACCATTGAAATATCAATGTGATTTACAATAAAATGACATGATGATGGTATGTTGTTATACATCATTGGAAAGGATAATAAAGAGGTATTTAACGATGGAAGCAAAGCGTTGAAGGAGACACTGCAAACATTATAATATATTGAATAAAACACGTACGGTTATGAAGATGCCACGAAGTCTGAAAAAGTTTCAATCGCATTTGTCATCTATTTCAAGTAAACAATACTGTTTCACTCAGGCTCATTACTTGGTTTAAGCTAAAAAAAATTAATCGCGGGCCGCCAAGCAACAATTCCTTTAAGTAAAAACATACAATAGTGATATTTTGTAAACTTTTTATTGTTGTTTAAACATTGATACGTGATAAAAATATCTCTATACTATAACATAATAGTTTGTTTGTTGCACTTTTGTCAATTACTAGTCTATGGTATATGAATATATATCTGTTTGACACGTACTTCTTAATGCTTCTTGTAATACCAGCAATTGTAATCATTGCCAAATAAAACAGCTATT